AAACTACTCGTAACTCAATTTTTTCCAAAATTTGGGTTGGTTCCTTTCTGCTCAACTCAGTCCAATTCATCGTGGACCGCTCTCGGAGGAAGCTACGATTTGCTTACTTTCAAGTACCTAAACCGGATCTCAGGCTGATAAGGGTTGATTTGTTGGTAACGAGAAAGAATACTAATAGATTTTGCGGGATGCTAAGTTGGGTTCACTGACGATTAAGGTGATTCGATGGACGCCATATTTTGTGTCAGAACGACGTGCGATATATCGCATCGATTAGTTCCATTTTTTTCAGCTACTCGTCATTTTTCTCGAATTTTGAGATCGCAATTCTGTTGTCAGGAGACTAAAGAATTCACTTACCAATTTTGACAAACAAATTCAACGTAATAAATGCGAGGTTTTATTTTAGAGGAAAAAATCGCCTTCGATACTGATATGGAAACTCCACTCAAATGCGATATTTTTCCTCTGAAAAAACCACGCCTCTATTACGTTGAATTTGCTTGTCAAAATTGGTAAGTGAATTCTTTAGTCTACTGACAACAGAATTGCGATCTCAAAATTCGGGGAATATGACGAGTAGCTGAAAAGATGGAACTAACCGATGCGATATATCGCATGCCGTTCTGACACAAAATATGGCGTCCATCGAATCGCCTTAAGATTTACTGATGAGGTCTGAAAAGACCCAAAACGTTATAGATCTCTCGGCGCGACCTCAAGTTAGTATTCCAACGCAAGCTGCCTGAACTGAACACTCTCCATCCTCAGTCTTGGACTGTTACTCATTTTAGAGCTCAAAAATGGTTTTAACTCAAATTGAAATTTTTGAAACTTTTCGGCTTTGTTTTTCCCGCAAAATGGTGTAAACCCAGCACCATTTCACCACCTTTTTTTGTTGGTAACTTGAAGAGCAATGGGACCAGTCTTCAAATCCGACAGCGCCATGCGTAAAGTGAACCTTAAAATTTCGTTCTGGCGCCTAAATAATCAAATTCGTGGCCTAATTTGGCGCCTAGATATTCGCGGTCAGATGGCTATAAAAACGCTGAAAATCAGACAAACTTTTTGAATAAATACTTGAATCTACTAAGCTCCTCTTGAACAGGATTCTAATGGGCATGGAAGAGCTAAAAATGTGTAATCAGTCAACGAACGTCCAATTTTAAGGTGCTAAAACCCATCTAGCATCTATCATGTATTACTTTAAAAAAATGAAAAGAATCATCATTCATCATCAGTGGCCTTTAAAACAACCCTATCGTCGAAATATTTTTCAAGCTGACAAAATTGACTCCTACATTTTCTCGGTAAGATTTGAACGTTGGAGGAGATTTGTTCTTTCCTATTTTAATTGAAAACTCTTCCATTGGCACCATTAAATCGTGATTTTGAATTTTTGAAGATGAGGTCCCTCATTTTCATTGATACTGTCACATATTTGATTTTTTCTTCCAACAGAGATTTTTTACTTTACGCGACCAACCTCCCCTCCTCTCCTTATCTTGTACCCCAGAATCCAGCATCATCCCTTCTCTCCAAGTATGACCGCTCTACCATGCGTCTAGCTCTACATCAAGTCGTTTAGTATGCTAGACGATTGGAACTGTTCTGTAAATCAAATCACGGTTACAATCCAAGTAGGCGGGAAGAGGTTGAGCCGTTGTCCATCAAAGCTGTCGAGCTTGGTGGCCTGGAGCTACCTCAAGGCAAAGTTCTTACTGCTCCAGATCCACCTTATTGTCTTTCCTCTCTATGTGCATTGTCCAGTGTTGCTCACTTTCGCGGAAAAATTGGCTCATTTTCAAAGGTGCATACAAGGTCGGCGGCTATAATGAACTACTGCCCTCCGGGGCATATGCACAGCCTCTGAATTGTGATGTTGCAACATCATACGGATTTCATTTTGCGAAAAGGAACCAGAAGCATTGCCATGATGCTAAGATTTTGCTACTTCACCCTCTGCAATAGAATTACTGAAATCATGAAAAAGTATGGAATTCACATGGGAATTTTTGTCTTAAATTTACAGTTTTTAGCGAGCAAAATGGAAACTGTCAATGGATAGTCAGGTTTCTCTTCCAAGCAAAAGGAGTTGCACAATCTTTGCAACATTGCAATGTTCCTGGTCCCTTTTTGCAAAATGCAATCCATACTGTCTTTTACGAAAGTTCGTCAGTCTGTTCTGTACAGCCTCAAAGTTAGTTTTCAGGCGCATTTGCTTATAAAATCAGGGAATTCGCACTAATGGGCTCTCACGATTGTATCTCAATGACATCAAGTTTTAGTACAGAAATGCTGCAGTATTATAGAACCAAGGGGTACGTCCCCCGGCCGCTACGTGGCCCAACCCCTATAAGAGGGTGCTTCGCGTCTCACGGATCTCCGTGATTTAAGCTTCCAAAATCTGAATAGAGCGGCCAACTGTAACCTTACAAATCAGTTTTCTGATCTCTTTGGAAGATAATATACCTAAGCTACCACGTAATTTAAATACCATGGTGCATTATTTAGAAACTTTATATTTCGGAGAAAATTGACTTAGTAAGGTGTTTTTTGCCCCTTTTTCAAGTAATCCCATCTCTAAATGAATCGAAAAAGTTCAGGAAACATTCAACAAACTGGGAATTTTGCATGAATGAATATGCAGCTAAAATAGACTGCGTTTTGCAATTTGGAACTACATGTAGCTCAGTTTAGAAACGACACTTATACCATTAGTTTCCCTATGCTCATAATTGCTTTTACAGATGGGCCAGGAATTGCAGTGCCGAATTGCATGCAGTCCAAATATGTCACGTGTTGAAACGTACTTTTTTCACTGCGCACAGTTTTTTTGCTATGTTTGAGAAACATTTAAGTTTTCCAAATGTTCGTCGAATTGTATTTGGAACTCTACCGTTGTGTTAGGTTGAGTTAGCGATTTTGTTTTCTTCAGTCACCCTGAAAAATAAGGAGTTTAAAATGGACGCATCTTGCTGAAGGGAACTATATTGGATGCAAACCCTACGCACATAGTTTCTTTTAGCATAGAACGTCCAATAGTGTAAAAATTATAATGAGTGCAAACCACAACGCATGAAGCATCATCCGAGATAGGAATAAATCGCTGTGGGTTTATTGACGGTTGGTAGTTTATTGATTTATTACTTAATTGTTTTATTGCTGTAGGTATGTTCGCTCCAATTATGACCAAATACAGCCGAACCTCGCGCTAAAGTCTGCTTATTTTCCAAGCGAAATAATTGCGTAGTTTCATACAAAGTGGCATCGTCGCATTTACCTTCCACGGTGGTTAACAGTTACTAATCAGAAAAAAATTGCGGCAGTGGCCCTGGTATGTTGCCAGGTCTCGTTCGAATGTTCCAAATGGTTTCAAAAAAGGAAAATGAATCAAATCTAAAATGACCATAACGTAATAGTTTGAATTTCAAGTGAGATACCTGAAAATTCTAAGACCTTTCCTCATGTTTCTTTAGACATTTTTCAATGAGTCCATATTGCGAATTCGCAATATGGACCTTGTTAACAAGGGACTCAACAGACTGAAGTGAAGATGAAGCAACCAAGTCATTTTTCAGGAAAAATGAAGCAAGAAATAGTTTTAATCTCAACCAGCAGCTCATTTTGTCCTATCAAAAATTCAAAGTCGATAAAAAATATTTTGAATGTTAAAGTAAATTTTTCTTCGAATTTTAGTCCTTTAAAGGAATAAAACTTCAAAGCTGTTTTTCGCGGTTCGATCTTGATGTTCGACCTGGTTCCTTCCCGTTCAATTCAGTTATCTCGTCGACGTCCATGGCCCGAGCGTAGATCGTAGATGCGACGGGCTCGGCCGTTAAATTGAATAGAAAATTTAGCAACTATTGTGGCGCTGTTCGCCAACCCAAGCCGCAGGCTCGCAAATTTACTCGAGAATATGGGTAATTAATCTTGGTGCGTAGATCAGGATCTAGGGAGGGACAGGGGGCGAGGGAAGATATTAGATCCAGATCTCGGATCTCGGTTTCGTAGCATGACCGAAAGCTGAGCTATTAACATTGAGGTCTGACCTCTCATTTAAGCGCTGCCGCTCAAATTGCACTACAGTTCCATGCAAGAATACCTTGCCGCGGCAGCGTTCATGCCATTCATAGTGAGAATAATGGCCCCATTGAAAGCTCTCATCGTCGCAAAGGTCGTGCGTGGATGGCTAGCGGATCCAGAACGCTCTCGCGCTTCAGTAAAATGGTTCGATTTTCTCACTCAAATGCAAATCATTAAAGGTCTTCATCTGAACGATATTTTAATTTGTTTCCATTAAACTTGGAGGCGAAATCTGACTTGTAATCAATTTTTTACACGTTGCCTCTTCAATCAATACTGCAAGCTCTCTGACCCCCTTAATTTGCATTTTTTGCAGCAAGTTTCCCGCACTGCCGCGCTGTGCGAAGGAAAAATGTCGTACGAGCATTCGAATGTTGCCAAATTTCTCTCAGAAAATATTTATTTTTGAAGAAAGTTATGAATATTTTTCCTTGGAATTTTCAGATACTTTAGATCAAATTACGAACAAAATTCCCTGAAAATTCGAAGGAAAACCTTTACAAATCTTGAAAATTCGTGATTTGTCAAAGGGAGTTTATAAACCCGCCTGAAAGCTTATATAGCGTTTTTCTCTAGCAGAGCGGCGTAGCCCCTTCTCCCTCCTCCCGATAGGGTTTCAAACCGAAAACTTCAGTCAGCGACAAGGACTGAAGTTGTATTCATTTAATCAATTTTTGTGATAAAGAATAGATTTTCATCAATGAAGATTTGTACGAGTGACCCGCATTTTTACAATATTAATAAGGCGATAACAGCATCCTCAATGCCACACCGTAACATGCATCAATAAAAAAAGTTCCTCTTATGAAAAGGGAAAAAAACTAGAGAATCGGCGGAATGAGGAAAGGAGAGCGTGTCTATGAGGATGGATGACATTAACGCGGACTAATTGGCGGTGTTTTTGCTTTTTGCAGGGCATGGCCTTCACCCTAGAGGAGAGGCAGGCTCTTGGAATCCACGGCCTCATCCCACCTAGATTCAAGACCCAAGAGGAACAATTAGAGCTTTGCAAACTCAGCGTGGAAAGGTATGACGACCCGCTCAACAAGTACATCTACCTGATGGGTCTCCAGGTAAGTTTGCTTCTCCAGCATGTCCTCTTGTAATTATCGTGATGTTTATTTAATTGATAACATCAATTAATTTTTTATGGATTCATACAATCCAAGGTTAGTAAAACGTAGGTCCCAAGTAGCATTTTTTCAATAGAAAAATCTAGGTTTTTTTTTTTTTTTTTTTTTTTTTTTTTTTTTTTTTTTTTTTTTTAAAAAAATTAAGTTGCGAATGTCAATAGTATGACGAAAGAAAGGCTGCCGACGAAGATGCTTGATGGGGCTCTTAATGGAGATGTTGCATGTGTGAGAAATTTGCGATTTGACTTTTGATTCTTTTGTAAAAGTTTGCGAGAAACACGATGGTGCTACTTGTTTTCTCTGAAATCAACTCCCAAGCTCAAAAAAAGCTCTCAAGTTGAGGCCAAAATGGAGGGGATATCCCACGCTATCCTGAGAGTCCACGTTTACGTCAAGTCAAACTCTTTATGCGAAGATAGGGAGCAAATGCATTGACAGGGCTGCCGTGTTTTCAGTTTTTTAGTCCCCAAATAAAGTGGCAGCCCTGTCAATGTATTTGTTCCCCATCTTTGCATAGAGAGTTTGTCTTGATGTAGAGGTGGACTCTCAGGATAGTGTGGGACATCCCCTCCATTGTGGCCTCAACTCGAGAGCTTTTTTTGAGCTTGGAAGTTGATTTCAGGGAATACCAGAGGCACCATCGTGTTTCTCGCGAACTTTTACAAAAAAAAATCAATTTTCAAATCGCAAATTCCTCACACATGCAACATCTCCATTCAGGGTTTTTATTAAAAACAGGGTTTTTAATTCATGACTAATGAACCCCCAGATAGGATTTGCTTCGACAGTGTATCCACTTTGTCTGCAGCGAACGGGGACATAGTATAACTCGAGAAACAAATCGATGACCAAATTGCAAAACCGCGTATCTTCATTGCGATGCTGCAAAATTTCCGTTCCTATTTTTTTTTTCGGAGAGAAAGAAGGCAACTATATTGCTTGAAATGCGCACGGAATATTCTACCAATAGAGCAGACAAATCATGGAAGCTTTCAAGACATTACGCTGACTAGATTTCTGAGGGAAAAAATGAAGTATGACGGGACGTCTGCAACGTCGCAAACGGAGATACGTGGTTTTGCACTGTAGCCATCGAAATATCTCTATCTGCAGAATATATACAACTCAACGTGTGAAGGATTAGGAAAATGACCCTGTCCGAGAAGAGAAATTGAAGCAATGGAATCTTTCCGATGAATGATTCCATCGAGGGTTTTGGAGGACAAGGCGCATTTAAGTGCAGTTCTTGAAAAAATTGAAGTATTTTTCATTTTAAGCACCTGAAGCTGTCTTAAAGCACATTCTGTGAAAAATTCGCTCCCAAATTTCAATTTTTAAGCATCAAAAAGTCTGTTTGAACTTTCTTTCGACTATAAGGATCCATGTAATTTCGAAACCTCAAACAAGTATTACTCAAAATAACAAAAACTGCACTTATGAGCCTTGTCCTCCAAGCCCCTCAATTGAAATTTCGATATTTCGGACCGTAACTGTTCCTCTTTACAGCTATGAACGCAACTAACTCGAAAGCTAATCTCGTCGTCAGAATTACCTTCACTTCACAGGGTAGGCAAAACGCGTTCACTTGGGCTCGAATTAAAAGAGTCGAAAATGAAGGAGCGTGATTTCATTGCAATCTCGCAAAATTTCACACGACAGTCATTAAATACTCAGTAATTGTTTCAATCTTTCAAACATTCTCTTATTTTGATCTTTGGTCTTATGAGAATTTCCCGGACTTTTCAATGTGAAACGTGCACTCGTTATTATCCTGATAAAATTGACCAGTAGATCACCGGCAAAATGCCGATGAAACAATTATAAATTTTCTACTTACCTCAACTGACAGCGGTTAAATCTTTTACTGACATCAGTTAAAATCAGTAGAAAACATTTCAACAGTGTTCCATCGGTCAGTTTTAGCAGGGTAGGTAAGAAGTAAATAAAAAAGTCGCCAGGTAAGTAAAACTGTGCGACGTTGGCATGTTTGCCAGGCCCTCTGGGTATCAATCAACTTTAAAGCGCCTACAATACCCATTTGGTGTACATTTTGCAAATAGGAACTACAATCCCTGGCTCATCCGTAAAATCATTTACGTGCATAGGGGAGTTAATGGCACATGCGTTGTTTCTAAATTGAACGAGGAATTGTAGTTCCTAATTGCAAATTGTAGTCCATCAGGTACTTTTATTTTCGCTGCTAGAACAATACAGAGACCTTAAATTATACTTGATTCTTCCGATAGTGAGTTACTCCTCTTTTCTAAATGTGTCTTCTTGAATTTTCCTCGGGCTAACATGATAAATTATTTCGTTTGCAGGACCGAAACGAGCGGCTTTTCTACCGATTCCTGTCGGAAAATGTGGAGCAGATGATGCCGATAGTGTATACTCCCACTGTGGGACTTGCCTGCCAGAAATACGGTCTCATCTACCGCAAACCGCGGGGTCTCTTCATCACCATCCACGATAAAGGCCACGTCTACGAAATCCTTCGTAACTGGTAACATCCTTGTCTTTCACACCCTCGAAATTCGCATCACTATTCCAAATCTCATCAAACCCAAGTCATAAATTCATTTTTCAAATTTTCCTTTTTCAAGATCATTTGTATTACATTTTGCAATAAGGAACCACTATCTCCAGCTCTTCCACAAAAGCACCTTCCTGCATAGGGAAACCAATGGCTCATGTACGCTCTTTCTAACATGAGCCAGAAATAGTGGTTCCTTATTGCAAAATGTGGTCCATTTGTACTCTAGCTCTATGATACTCTTAAGTGGATTGCATTTTGCAAAAAGGAACCACTAGTATTGCAATGATGCTAAGATTGTGCAACTTCATCTTTTGCAATAAAATTGCGGAAATCGTGAAAAACTATGAAATTTAGATGGTAATTTTTGTCTTAAATTTACAGTTTCTAGCAAGTAAAATAGAAACTATTAATGGATAATCAGGGTTTTCCTCCAAGACAAAAAGAAGTTGCACAATCTTAGCAACATTGCAATGCCAGTGGTTCCTTTTTGCAAAATGCAATCCAAGTTGTCACACCCCAAGTATCAAAAATGGTGCTGGTTTGATTCAATACTTTTCCCTATCTGTATCCTACACTAAAGCAATGTAATATTAAAGAGTCCTCAACGCGCTTCGGCAGCATTGCCGCATTCGCAATTTGATGTGGGTCGATTGCCCGCCAAACGCAAACCTTTAAATTATTATAAGTGATCGCCTTTTTCTCGAGGAGTTTTTTCTGTATTTTCTCGGGAGAACTGACCTATTCCAAATCTCTAAATCTCTAACTTGGTTGGATTAAAAGTTAGCGGGTGGGTCAGGGTCTTTCCAGACACCCTGTAGAAGCTGTTGTCAAACTAAAAAAGTTGTAGTGTAAATCAGTTGGTGTGGTTTGAGTCATTTTATTTAGTTGTCAGGGATGGTGAGGGGGAAGAGTCACATCCGTCTACATAAAAGTTAAATATTGTGACCCAACAAGTGCATTTTTCAGGGTTGGATCGTGAAGTCATATAACCTCCCGTTCCTTTTTATCCACTTAAGTCCATTAATTTTTTGATTTGGTCTAAACTGTTTAATATTTTTTTTTCTCTCCAGGCCAGAAAACGATGTGAGAGCAATAGTGGTAACAGATGGAGAACGTATTTTGGGACTTGGTGATCTGGGTGCCTACGGTATGGGAATCCCAGTAGGTAAACTGGCGCTGTACACTGCCTTAGCCAACATCAAACCATCACAGTGTCTGCCCATCACACTGGACGTCGGTACGAATACTCAACAGCTGCTTGATGACCCTCTCTACATTGGTCTTAGGCACAAGCGAGTAACTGGACAGGAATACGATGACTTCATCGATGAATTTATGCAGGCTGCTGTCAAGAGATACGGACAGAATTGTCTCATCCAGGTGAGTTTCCTTTTGTTTCTCCTAATAATTGCACAATTAAGAGGCATTTTCAGTGATGCTGCCGCTTTTTTAAAAATGATTTACTCAGATGGTGTAACTTTGGAAAAATTTGTTATTTTTTTCTCAAATCATTTGAATTTGTCATTTATCACAGTTAGTAAATTCTACATAGTATCTGCACCTACTCAATATGTGGGGAATTTGGTTATAAGCTACAGTTTTGAAATCAGGAATTTTTTGTGCTATAGGGAGATCCAGACACTTCGAAAGGGGGGATGGCAGGGGGGTCATACGCCTTCTATGCCCCTCTGGATCTGCCTATCTTTTGTGCACCTTAAATAAAAAATTGTTTGACGAATTTTCTTTCCGTTTTCTTCTTCAAATTTCTCAGTGCCTCTTTGGCTAAAGATGCATATGAACCGCTAGCGTTTATGGTATTCATTAACCTGATCCCTTAGTTTTCTGTTGCAGACAATGTCCTATTTTAAAAGACGATCTTGTCATTCCGTTTTATTTACTGTGTTCTGCAACCTTCATACCGTCTTAACTCACATGTGAATCATTTTTCAATATGATTGGTTTGATCACTTTGTTTCAGTTCGAAGATTTTGGAAATCACAACGCCTTCAGATTCTTAGACAAATACCGTGATAAATATTGTACATTTAATGATGATATTCAAGGAACAGCATCAGTAGCAGTTGCTGGTTTACTAGCATCTCTAAGGATCACGAAAACTAGGCTTTCGGATAATGTTATTCTTTTCCAAGGAGCTGGAGAAGTAAGTAATTTTTAGTCCATCATTTATTAAAAATGTATCAACAGAAAGTTATCACATTGCACTCACGTTTTTTTCTTACTGACATGCTTTTGTCATCAGTATTATTGTCAGTAGTGTTTTCTCATCAATATTGATAGAATTTAGTCACGGTTTTTCAAAATTTCAAAGCTGTCCATAGGTTGAAGTATATCTTCAAATCCAAGGTTTATACCCAACAAATTTGAGAAGTTTTTCCCAATTCTCTGAGTCTAGTAGTAAAGAGGAAGAACAATTGATGGCCAAAGTCCGGAACTATGTATCTCTGTTTGTAGTTTTTGACATTGTAGACTTCTTGTCATACTTCTTGTATTTTTTCTTTGGAAAATTAGTCAACATAATTTCTTGAAAACTTCTCTGTTTTTTTTTCTTTCTGCATGCAGAATCTTTTGATAGGTACATGTCAAGCTCTAAAGTTGGCTTGTTTTTCGGCAAAAAAATTAAATAGGAGTATAAATATTGAATCATTGCAATGTAGATACATTGTTTTGTTCTTTGGCCACTGAGATGGAATATCTATATCACCAGAGTATCTTTCTGCTATTCAATTGATAAACAGGAACTGCTGGGACCTATTGAAGCAAGCCAAAGCTTGTATACTCTGAGACTTCTCACCAGTTGATGGGTAACTGCGAAATTACTGCGGAAGAAAATCCTCTCCTTTCAGCAGAATAGAACTCTCAAAGAATTAACGAAGACAATTAATGCGCTTACAATCGTAGGTACAATCAAATCTATATGCAGGAGGTACATAGATATGATCTCAATTTGAGGTTATTGTTTTTATTTTCCTTCCTCTCTCAAGTTTTCGTGTCATAATTATTTTTTTCTTCATCAACAGGCCTCATTAGGAATTGCAGAATTGTGTGTGATGGCCATGCAAAAAGAAGGCACCTCTGTACAAGATGCTCGTGATAAGATTTGGCTGGTAGACTCCAAGGGTTTGATTGTTAAAGATCGACCAGAAGGAGGTGTCACTGGACACAAGACGCGTTATGCCAAGAATCATCCTCCTGTCAAGACCTTAGGAGAGGTTGTAAAAAAAATTAAACCATCTGTGATCATTGGTAAGTTTTCTATAATTTCTAGTTTGATGTATAAAATTGCGTATTTTAGAATTTTTAAATACATTGGTCTGTCTTCCATTGCAAGGGACTAAAGTTTGCGTGCAATAAATGTAAGGTGGGGAAATAATCTTATGACAGAAACATTGTTCCTGGCTTATTTGATACACACTAACAAATAGGAAGATCTCATATTTTAATGAGATTTTCTCAATTTTTCTAAATTTCACGTGTATCCATCAAGTTTTTTCTCAATTTCAATCGGATTGTAAAACATTTAATTATTCCTAGTAAAACCTTTTAGCACTCAAAAATCTCAGTGAAACCAATATTTGTAATTGATTACTTCATGATAAAAAAAAATTTTTAAAGACTAAGGCAGTCTGTAAATGTCTCTGTAAATTTGTTCAATTGTAAGTTTACAATAAAAAAGAAACATAAAAAAAAACCTTTTAATAAATGTCGCTAAAATTATGGAAGAATGTTTGTAATTTTTTACTGGAGTAATTAAAGAGAATAGGCCGCCTATGCTTGATTTGTGATAAAGCAATTCTGGGCAACTGTTTGTCTGGCTTAAGACAACTTAAGCCCGAATAATTCATAAAGATCTAACAACGCTGTTTTTGTCCTCATAGGTGCCGCAGCAATTGGTGGTGCTTTCACCCCTGAAATTTTGAAGGACATGGGAACCTTCAATAAGCGTCCAGTTATTTTTGCTCTCAGTAATCCAACCAGTAAAGCTGAGTGCACCGCTGAACAAGCATACACATATACTGATGTGAGATATTTTTCATTTAGTTTTGTTTTTAATGATGAAAATCAATAATTTTTACCAAAATTTACAAATTATTATTAAAAACAATGGTAAAAGTGAAAAGGAAGTTAAGGAAATAATCATGTGTATAACTTTCTGCCACGTATCTGCATTAATGGTGTAAGAAATATGTAGTTTCGGACAAAATGATAAATATTAGTACTCAGCAACAGAATCAAATATCCTCTCCACGCAAGTGTACAAAATAAAGTGTAGAAGTTTTGTGTAAAATTTTCATGAGCTGATAAGAATTCTCAATGCTGTTTTCGCATGATAAGGCAAAATTTGACTACATTTTGCAATCAGAAACTACCATTTCTGGCTTATCCGTTAAAACATGTACGTGCATTGAGAAAATAATGGTACCTTTATTGTTTTTATACTAAGTCAGAAATTGTACTCCCTCATTGCAAAATGTAGTCCAATTGGAACGAATTGTGGTGCCTCATCTAATCATTATGACTGTCTTTCAGTCAAAAAGTTATTATACCCCTCAAAACCGCAGTAGCCCTTGTAGCACACCTCAGCACATTTACTCTTAACTGCCTTGAAGTAAACCATGTTGAAATGATTGTTTGGCATCAACGGCTTAAACTTATTATCACTCATTACAGGGCAAAGCCGTCTTTGCTAGTGGATCACCATTTGACCCTGTCACATACAAAGGTCAAAAGTTTGTCCCAGGACAAGGAAATAACTCATACATTTTCCCTGGTGTAGCGCTTGGTACAATTTGCGCTGGAATTAGACACATTTCTGATGAAATCTTCCTCATTGCTGCTCAGGTATTACTGATTTTAATTATCATCAGTTTTAAGAAATCTTCAGTTTTCATGTCACAGTTTTTTCAGTAATCCTTTAAGATCCTTCCTCAGCCTAGAGACATACTGGATTTCTCTTCCTTTTTTGCTCAACTCGCAGAAAATCTTAGGAAGCTCTTCTTAGTATATTTACATCTGGTAATTCTTTGATGGAACGAAGTCACGTCCTTAAGTCATTTCAAATTACTTATCAGAAATATATCCAAACTCGTCTAATCCTAATACTAATGAAATCCATCTTTTGATAGATTTCTGTTAAATTTTTATTCGGATACTTTCCTTAAACTCAAGTGTGTAACTTTCCAGTATCTAGATCCAAAATTATTTTAATGTTTTTTATAAAAGAAGAAAGAGAGGGGGGCGAATTTGCCTAACTAAGAGGTTTATTGATTCAACCATAAATTTTTCATTTCAGTGTCTTGCTGCTTTAGTAACAGATCATGACCTTGAAATTGGAAGCCTGTACCCTCCGCTAGAGACCATTCAATCGTGTTCATTGAAAATTGCTGTAAGGATCGCTGACTTTGCTTATGAGAAAGGTACAACCACTCTTTCATTATTTTTATGCATGAGTTATCAGTCAGACGTTTTAAAATATTGGGACTGGGTATTCTGCTTTTAAGAAAATAATAGGTTCATTGAACAGAGTCTTATTAGAATAATCTTCTCACTGCGTCCAGAATATAGTGAAAAAATCGTAGGGAAGAAACTATACTGATAAATCTAAAATTATTGCATAGGTGAAAGTCATGTCGGCTTTTCTTTTAAAAAAATTAAGCCACCAAGTTAAGAAAAACTTCTTGAAATTATGTTTTCCAACTGGTCTTTATGCATTTTTTTAATTTGCTATAAGTTGACTCCAGAGACGGAGGAAAGAATTATTGACTGGAAGTGATGAAACAATAGAATCACTATGACTTGGAATCTTGTGCGCTCCAACTATATATCGAAATATATCCCATTTCATTCTCTCTTGCATTTTAGGCTTCTCAAGTTTTACTGATCAATATCTGACCTAACTGCATGTATTGCATATAATTTAAAAATAAATACCATTATAAAGAGCCAAAAACTCGCATGTTATACATGCATAGGTTTGGTAAAATTTGCCAAGGGCTTATGCCAAAATAATGTCTTGAAAAGAAGATTCTTTTTTTGAACCAGCTTTTCTAACGCTTCAAATCCTTACACTGAAATAATTATTGTTGTTCGTTGTTTTAAATTTTTTTCCAGGATTTAAGTGTGGGGGATAAATAATTGTGTCGTGTGTCAGAATAGTTTTTTTTTTGTTTGTTTTATGTTTAAATAGGAGTCATTTGGAAAATAAGGTTCCTTCCTTATTGCGCAAGCAAGAAAGATTAAACAATTCTTACTTTGAGCTCTCAAATTAGCCTTAAATTAAAGACAAGTTTTAATATCCCTTGTTCAGGGTTTAAAATTCTTTCATTAAAATGCACCTTTATGCCCTTCGCCCATCTACTGGCATAAATATGTACCCCGTTTCTTGTAATTCAATCTTCAAAATACCTAAGAGCATTTTTTGGTAGAAACTCCCATACAATTATTTGACCCAACAAATTTACAATTTTTAGACCAAAATTGCTCTCTTTAAAGAGTTTTCTTTGTGAATCAAAGTCCTGTATTTTTTTGTGATCAATGTCCTTGCATGTGGATATACTTTTTTTTTTTTTTTTTTTTTTAAAAAAAAAAAAAAAAAAAAAAAAACTGCTTTTATAAAATGTTTAGTCCCTCCCAATTCAAGGAAATAAAAAGTAGAGAATCTTACTTTTGAAATGACTCAAACATCAATCAGTCTTGTTCACAAGAAATTCGTTCCTGTGTTAATGTCCGTGCATCCTGCTTATTCTGAAGTTTTCAATCTAATTTTGATCTGCTGAGTTACATATATCAACTCAGGAGAGCTGGAGTTTTTAAACACACACCGTGATTGGGGCAAGAGAACTTGAGAATGATTTATCTACTCTTTGTCATTCGGATTTTAGAGACCAGTAGGTGGATTATTGAAAGTTTACAGCAGGATGATAAGCCATCGAAATACTATTTATTGCATGGTTAAGATAGGGCTGTATCTTATATTGTCGTATCGACATATAAGCAGATCCAATAATCAGGCCACTGGTTTCATTTGCACATCGTCTTGCTGAAACCATTTTTTAGTGTAGCCGCCAACTTAATACGCATAAATTATCACAAGGTGCAATAGCAATTCTTGCTGCAAAATTGCTGGTCGTATTTCCACAATTCTTTGCAAGGTTGCAGAAATGTCATCGTAACATTACTTTGCTGTGCTAGAATTGGAAGGAACATGGGCTTTAATCACCTTTCATTAATTTTCTAATGTATTCTTGTGGAGTATTCATGATAAATGATTTTCAACAGGCTGGGCCTCAACGTATCCTCAACCTTCGGACTTAGAAAGTTTCATCAAAGCTCAACTTTATGATTACCATTATTCGTCTGCTGTTCCTAAAACCTATGACTGGCCAAAGCTTTAAAGTCAAGGTTTTACAAGGTGATAAAATGCAGGTCCCTGCTTTCTATTGTTTGGTTTGCACTGTAGAAATTGTGCGTGTATTTTTGCCAACAAGGGAGCTCTCTATAGGGTGTCCCTTATTTTTTAAATTTGCGAATTTCACGTTGGTCAACCTCTCAAAAGTTTCTATATGATGTGAAAACACACCTGCTTTTTTGATAAAAAATTAAAAAAAACTTGAAATTCGCAAATTTAAAAAAATAAGGGACACCCTAGCTCTCTACCTTTCCTCAGATATCTTTTCTCTGAAAATAAAAGTATTCTAGGAAAGTAATGGGACTTCCTGTGAATTATTTTTGCACAAATGCTTTATCATGTTTGGATGATCTGTGTCCTTGTCAAAACGTCACATCACTGGTAGAAGTACATCCAGGAAATGGATGATCATCTTTTTCATATTAGTTAGAGTCAATCGTAGAACATAGTCATCTGCTTATCTATGTGGTAATTAGTTGTTCTGTATTTTCTTTGTATCTCCTTTTTTTTCCTGTGTGTTTTAATGTGTTTAACTGTAGTATTCACCTTGCTGTAACTTTTTTTTTATTATTATTTATTGCGTGTGGTTTGGATCGAACTTCATCGGTTGTTCTCACTTGTTCTGGAAAAACCTCTCGTTTTCTAAAAAAAAACACATTTTGTTCTATTGACTTAAAAGTTTGAAAAGAACTTTTTGAATCGTTTGCCATTACAACAGCCTGAGGCTTTGAAAAAGTGACACCCAAAAAGTAATTCAATTTTAGAAGTTTGGTAACACTATTTTGTCAAAAGCAGTGAAATAGGAGACACACAAATTTTTTGTGCCTCCTCTTTCCTTTTCTCTTTTCTTAATAAGAGTCACTCTTATTTTGTCAGCAATTAAAAAATATTGGAGCTGAAATTTGATGTATCTGCTTTTGATGGGATTGACAGTTAGGCATCAAAACCCGAAAACATTTAATGATTTAGACTCATAACTTGTAAGTTTATGTTTCTCTTTTGGAAATTTTGCTCTGGTAGTTGAGGTTTCTTTTCCAGAATATGTCATTTAATGAAAAGTTATAGGTTTTCATTCTGTATTGTATATTGTATATATAATGTATCTAGAAGTATTACTGAAAGCGTTCGCTTTTCAACTTTTTTTTTTTTTTTTTTAATGGTTATTCACTCTTTGTTTCACAATTTTCATAGAGTATAGTAATGCAGTTTTAATTATAATTTTTGTTCACCATCCTATTTTCTCTTTCGGGCTGAACATTGCATGCTTTTGTTAATTCAGCCATGACTTGAAATCTCAACAATAGATAGGGTTCTACAAAGCAGATCCTAAAAAGGTCTGAAAGGGATGGATAAAGTTGCATACCGACTACATCTTACAGTAAAATCTTTCTGCTTTAAAACCATTCAATTATCCGAAGATCATCTATCCTGATGTCAACAGAGTGACCCTGCACCTCATAACACTGTTGCATGATATTTTCTGTGGCCATTCCTCTGGCCATTTCATAATTCATACCATTAAGTTGCATGTGCATGAATAATTTGTTTTTTTTTCTTCTTTTCTGTCTCGTAATGAATCAGCTCAAAGGCTTGTTGATATATTGACCTGGCAATCCTTTTTTAGCCGATCGTTGGAAGCATTCCTTTTCAAATTTCCTAAGTGTTGCATTGTGCCTGATCAGAGAGATGTAATATTACCCATGAAAGCCGTCTGCATTTACTGAAATTGATTGTCAAAAGTTTAGACAATAGACCTGCACTCATGGAAAGTTCAACGAAATCAATCACTACAAGTTTTTTTGTTTTGTCTTCAGAAATTGAAAGTTCCACTATTCCTTCACATTGAAAGTTGAGTTTGCTTGGAAAATGCCATAATACAATTCATCAGAAATTTGCCTCAGTTTAGACTTTTTTTTTCTTTGGGAATTCTTTAGTCCATATCGCTACACCTGTCTCCCTGTAACATGCATTTTAAGTGTTAATAACTATCGATGAGTAGCTAAAGAAATTACTTTAAAATTAACTCATACCTACAATACATTTTGTTTAATTTTGCAAGATAAATCATTTTGCAAAAACTAATTTTTACTCCTGCTCACTTCCATGATGTCTTAATGGCTTACGATGATAAACTTTTTGATTTGCTTGGTGCTGAAGAGCCAAAGGCAGGAAAGCTTTTGAGCCACTGAGTTTAGGTCAAGCTAAAAGGTCCTCAAGTTAATGGCTTCCGCAGGAATTTGAGACTTACAAGTTCAGCTTCAAACAAGATTATCAAAAAGTAGAGCTGTATATTTTCAAAATTTTGAAAGATCTGACTTTTCTACCACATGTTTTTTTCATGCATCTATAAGTAATTAAACACGATAGATGTTTAATTTAATCTACCGCACGCTCAAGTAGTTTCTGTATTAATAACTTCAATCCTTACGCTTTTTCAGGAATTGCTGCCACATACCCAGAGCCTGAAGATAAGGAAGAATTCGTCAAATCGAAACTGTATGATTATTCCTACAGTTCCTCTGTACTGCCAGTAAAGTACAGTTGGCCACAGAACGCTATCAACTGACTATGCAAGCTGTGAAACTAATGTCCTCTCAAAAAAGTGTTCAACTCGTTTCCTCTTTGTTGTACATAATCGAAGATTCCAATGGCATGTTGAAGGGTTGCATTTAGGTACCTAATTGTGTTTCCGAAGCCTTTTAATGCATCGGTTTTTACATTTCCATAATCTTTTGTATTTTAAAAATGATGCTTCTCTTAATTAAATATAAGTTATTCCACCATACTCTTCTTAATATCTATTAATGAATATATATAAAAAAAAAAAAAAATACCGTAAATCTTTTTCTCCCAATGTTTTTGAGTATTCCAGTCAGATCTTAAACTGGGCTGAATGGTTAGCTGTTTCGTTTTACTTTCCCTGTAAGAGGATATTGTCCTTTGATATTTTTTGAGCCTCGAACAAATTCAGTTCAGTAGGACTATTTATCATTTCATTTATTTATTAATTTACCTACTCATTCATTACATAATCTAACTCCCGGAGTTTCTTCATGGGCCAGCCTAGAGGGCTCCTACAATTTTTATTTAAATTTTTTTTGAAATCGACATGTATTTTAACCTTTCAAGAGCTGAAGCCAGTAAAGATAAGGCTTTCAATAGATTCATTGAAAAGTTAAGATGAAATATTTTTCCAAGCTTAACGTTACAGATTTTTACATGTGATTTTTTAAATGGCTGTGTCAGTTTCAGGAACGCTAAACTTGACTCATTTTGTTGTTCTTTTTAAAGTAAATATCAGCATTAAAGAAAAATGGAGCTCCTTGTATCTATGTTGGTTTTGTCCCTCAAATACTTAATAAGTGTTTCACTTTAACCTTTTTTTGCTTCAATTGTTTTTCCTTTCATTTTTAATTCATTGTAATCATCTTATTTTTTTGAACTGTTTTTGGAAAGTTTTGTTTTTGTTATTCAATTATTCTGTTATCTTTTTTTTTATGTATCTACCGTAATAAAATTACTTCATGCTCTAAGTTGGATTTTTATTTTTGAAATACAATTTTTTTGGGTGAGTTTTCCATCTTTTTTACTGAATTGTAGACATCCAAGATATACTCAGTTGTCCTTCTCTGGACAGAATATATCTGAATATATGGCTGATTATTTAAAGTTTAAAGCAGCCCAATAAGACATAGAATTGCGGTATATTTCATGGTTAGGATAGGGCGATGTCTTCTCTTGTCAGGCTGACGTATTTTCAATAATCGGGCGGTAACAGTGTGTTACCAAACTTCTCAAATTTTGGCAATTTTTATTTTTTTTTAGAAAAGAACTGAAGAATAGAATCACTTCAAAATTTTACTAGATATTCCCTTCGTCATTCAGATTAACCCTTAAGATGTTTGTGAAAGTGTTAAATTTTAAAGTCTGTCAATCTAGTATCTAAACTCAAATGGAGCTTGTGATATTCTTCCTGAAGAAAGATGACCTGTCTAACGTGAAATTTGTCGTCAAACTTCGTCCTAACAACGAGTCTTCTGAAGGAGAGGAGGTTCATGTAAATATTTAAAACAAGTAATTGATTACAAAAGGTCATATAATTTTTTTTTAGTTTTGATCAATAGGGACTTGGCTATTTACAGTACTTGCCCATCATACAAGGTGTTTATGAAAGAAAACAAAATATATAACACACCTCTGTCTGACCACTAAAACCAGAGAGAAAGAACAGTTCCCACTTAAAAATATTTACATGTATACATTATTTACAACGATGGCAATGAACTATAAACAATGATTTCGTTTTCGATATACTTATAATTTAAATAACAGCACAATTTACAAATAACAATGTCAACATGAGGAACTCAAATTACGAAATTGAAAGGTCAGATCTATGCTAACTCAATGAGGAGGACTATGAAACGAAAATACATTGTCCTCAACTTTGCACTCTTTACTCACTCTTATACGGTAACATGCACACGCAGTTGAATTCAGTGGACTGTAGCTAGTTAGAGGGAGTGAATTTTTATTTCTTCCGCTTATTTTTGGACACTGTTTGCAATTAAAACCTAACAAAATGTACCTCGAGGCAAACCAGCAGGAAAGCATACTTCCAAAAAGATTTCATGGAATGTCATAAGTTTCTAGCTAAGATATTCATTGACCTTTTTACAAAGGAGATCACAGGTTGTATGAAAAAATTTATGAAAATTTTGAATTGCAAGCGCTTTTAACAATGGCCTACTTAAAGGCATTCAAGAGTGGAGCTCAGAAGTGAGGTAAACATACTTTGCCTGCAAATAACTCTGATATCACAATTATCCAAAGGGAAAGGACAAAGAGGATGTACGATATTCCCACTTGATGACTGTTAGGTAACTGATATGGCTGACCGCCAATTTCATCTATGTGGAATCCCATGGGAAAAATCACAGCTGCCAGGCAGAATAACACCACTGGAAGAAAGAGGAAAAATAGTGAGAACATAAAATGAATGTTTGACAATCAAGTGCTACAGGGTATCAAAATGCTCTATAAAAGCAGTTTCTTTGCTTGTAAGTAATATAAATCTATTAAAGGGTTTTCAACGAATGTGAGATGTTAGCACAGGCTCAGAACTGCGGTAAACCTAAAAGAATCAGACTTTAATTAGAGCTTCATAATCATCTCTGTACTAACTCCTACAGTCTAAGAGTTGGTATGAAAACCATACACATATGGTCACCTACAGGATGATTTGTAAGATGAAAATGAACAACTCAGTAGACTTAAAAAACGAAATTTTGATCACTTTATGTTTAGATTTTGTAAAAGTATTTTTTCCCAGGGTATCATCGAAAGGCACCATTTTTTCAATTATGTAGCAGATGGTGATGAGTCTTCGTTTTATATTCTCCTTTGAAAATATAAGGTAAATTTTCTTACAATTTAAAAGTCATAATTAGAGGGGGAAAAAAAGAAAACGAGTACATAAGAAGAAAAAAAGGGGCAGCAGGGGCTAAAAATGATCCGCTTTGCAAACTTCTTGAGCAAATGAGAATATCATTGGATTTAGGATTGCAGATTGTCCTAAACTTTAAGAAAACTGAACAGTATCCATCAAGCAATAGGTTTTAACACATTCTTTTGTCATCAATGTGTTTTAAGCTGTGTTCAGCTCATAAACCTGATACATGGATGTTTCCGTGGAGTCATATTTAGCGCATGAGATGTGCACAGTAAGTTGAGTAAGACACTGACATTACTGAACGACAAGCTATGTTGGCAAGCCCAGGAGTAAGGAAATGCCCTATTTTGTAACTCCAGGATCGTAGCAAACCCGAGGCTTAGGCTTTTTTCGAGAACACTGACCTTCCTCTTACTCAAACTTTAAAAAGTGAGGCAAACAGTGCATTACATCATTAAATCAATCATTTTTCTAAATAATTGGGCATTTGACCAAGAGTAAAAAATGTCGAATTGCAGTACGAGTCTCTTCTCGATTTTAGATAAATTTGCTTGATTCGGGATTTTTTGTTGTGAACATGTTGATTTAAGAACCAGAAAAATTTCATGCAAAATGCAGATGACATTAAATATTTCTTTACTCAGTTAAAGAAAAACTAAAATTCTAGCACTTTCATTAAATTTCCTAACTTATTGAAAAAATTGATTAACCATCTGCTCAAAACTGGGGCACTTAGTTTCCTATCATTATTTACTGTAATTTTCTGATGTTAGCAAGTTCACTTCATTCAAGTCTATTTAGTCTATCTTGCCATTTGGCATGAATTAAGTAGATAAATTAAATAGGGCAGATCGATTCGATCTTTAAAGTTAGCGAACACACATTAGTGAACCTAGCGGCCGTGTTGCAAACTGGTTGAACAGAGCAGTTTACATTATCAGCCACGCAAGCGCGCTACTCGGCGAATTTGGCGGTGACGAGCAAAAATAGCCGCGAAATGTTCGAACTGCAAAAATTCCCTGACTTTCACCGGTTTTCGATCGAATTCCCTGACTTTTCCCGGTTTTCCAAACAGTGATCAAATTCCCTTATTTTTCCCGGTTTTCCAGACCTGCAGACACCCTGTATTCAGCTTTTTCTCCTGCTGGGAATGAGCGAGTAATTTTGCCAAAACGCCCAGCCAGTGAGTTCGTTTCATTTCAGCTTTAAAGTCCTTTTTTCTGGATTTTCTGTATTCAATCGTTGATTTGAAATCCCACAAACCTTTTATTTCTACCCGCTTATTTCTTTCAGTCATCCTATAAAAACTGCCGGATCGCTAATTGAAATCCTAACTGAAACACAGTATAACTATGCGGTTAAAACTATGAGAAAATATCAAGGGAAAGCGGTCACCGCAGGCGTGGAGGCTACTTCAATGTAATCATTTCCGTCTATCACATTTGTAAGGCGTAATGATACAACTATACGTACTCTCCGGAATGCGGGAGGTATCACGCCGCACTTGAAGGCGTTTTTTAAACTGACAGTTTCGTGACCGGGATTGTCGTGCCGCCTGAGATCGATGGAAAGATTGACGTTACGACCTAATTCAACAGTTCTGCGCTCATCTGCTTGTTTTAAATTTTTGTTTTCAGCTTTTTCTCCTGCTGGGAATGAGCGAGTAATTTTGCCAAAACGCCCAGCCAGTGAGTTCGTTTCATTTCAGCTTTAAAATCCTTTTTTCTGGATTTTCTGTATTCAATCGTTGATTTGAAATCCCAGAAACCTTTTATTTCTACCCGCTTATTTCTTTCAATCATCCTATAAAAACTGCCGGATCGCTAATTGAAATCCTAACTGAAACACAGTATAACTATGCGGTCAAAACTATGAAAAAATATCAAGGGAAAGCGGTCACCGCAGGCGTGGAGGCTACTTCAATATAATCATTTCCGTCTATCAAATTTGTAAGGCGCAATGATACAACTATACGTACTCTCCGGAATGCGGGAGGTATCACGCCGCACTTGACGGCGTTTTTTAAACTGACAGTTTCGTGACCGGGATTGTCGTACCTCTTGGAGTCGAGCGCACCAGAACGATGGAAAGATTGACCTCACGACCTACCTCAACAGTTCTGCGCTCTTCTCCTTGTTTTAAATTTATGTTTTCACAGGGTGTCTACAAGATTTTCAAAATGAAATTCCCTGACAATTGCAGGTTTTCCATTACAAAAAATGACAAAATTCCCCGACTTTTTGGGTTTAGCCATACGATGAACTAGGTAGAAAATATTTAAAAAAACTATCCTTAGGAATGACCCCGTAAAGTCATATTCTGAATTACCATGGCGTTGGAAGGAGTTGAGTAATACTTTTGAAAGGTGAGAGATCCTAAATACTCAAAATAAAGCTAATTCCAAAATGGTAAACTCAGACTAAAATTCACCTTCTAAATTTAATTTTTAAGCTCTATTACGCTCTCTTTGTGACATATTGCCCCGTGTACTTTTGAAAATTCAAACTATAGTTCACCCTGGTGGTTTCATAAATATTGGCATATTACTTAGTGCCCTGAAAATACAAGTCTCTTTTTCTTAAAATATAAAACAAGATTTGTAAATGTGCCTAACTCAGGTAGATTTTCTATAATCAAGAGGATACGAGTCTCTTCTCGATTTTAGATAAATTTGCTTGATTCGGGATTTTTTTTTTCAAGGTCAATTAATTCAGTGGATTCCAGAACCTATTGTTGATATTGAATTTGTCTTATACTCAACAAGCGTTGGCTTGTTAGAATATAATCCACCAATAATATTTCTACAATGTGGATGCACCAGTTGTGAACATGTTGATTTAAGAACCAGAAAAATTTCATGCAAAATGCAGTTGACATTAAATATTTCTTTACTCAGTTAAAGAAAAACTAAAATTCTAGCACTTTCATTAAATTTCCTAACTTATTGAAAAAATTGATTAACCATCTGCTCAAAACTGGGGCACTTAGTTTCCTATCATTATTTACTGTAATTTTCTGCTGTTAGCAAGTTAACTTCATTCAAGTCTATTTAGTCTATCTTGCCATTTGGCAAGAATTAAGTAGATAAATTAAATAGGGCAGATCGATTCGATCTTTAAAGTTAGCGAACACACATTAGTGAACCTAGCGGCCGTGTTGCAAACTGGTTGAACAGAGCAGTTTACATTATCAGCCACGCGAGGGCGCTACTCGGCCAATTCGGCAGTGACGAGCAAAAATAGCCGCGAAATGTTCGAACTGCAAAAATTCCCTGACTTTCACCGGTTTTCGATCGAATTCCCTGACTTTTCCCGGTTTTCCAGACAGTGATCAAATTCTCTGATTTTTCCTGGTTTTCCTGGTTTTCCAGACCTGTAGACACCCTGCGTTGAAACTACCAGACCTTGTATGTTGTTTGTGGTATTTAAAAATTTCTGCCTCCATTTTATTTCTCTGAAGGAGAATAAATCAATATCATTCCTTGAAGTTGCCTCAGATTTTTCATTGCAGTAAGAGGAAAACTCACGGAAGCTTGTGAGAATTGACGTTAAGTAGTTTCACATTGAAAAAATGAAGTATGACAGAAAGTCTGCAAAGTCGCAAACCAAGATACTTGGTCTGGTAGTTTCACCGTCAAAATACAAAAAAAAACACATTGGTATAAAATATTTAAAATATACAAAAGCCTGGAGAATTGAACTAGAAAAGCCAGCCAGAAAAAAAGCACAAATTCTCTTAATAAATAGGTTGATTAATGAAAAAAAATACTTACACGCAGTGAATCCTACCCATCTAGCATACGGTACAACATTTCTGTCCCAATATGATGATGTGAGCAAGATTATTGTTGTCGTGATACAAATACAGCCAAGGAAAATGCAGATCAAAGCAAGGAGCCATTCGGGCTGCAATGTTGGTGTAAAGCATATTTGAGGTCGATTGTAGACTGTCATACATGACCAGAGAAGACCTAGGCGTGTTTCTCCTGAAATCACATTCAATTATATTAATTTATATTAATTTTCAAGGCAAAATCCACCATAAGAGCACAATGAAAACATTACAAATATTTTTGATAAGTTTTGGTAAAAAAGCCATGCATAATGCCTCTGAGACTGTGATATTTCCCCGATAGAACTCATTTCAGATAAGTTGGCAATTGGTTACTTCCTGTTAGGGAGCGACTGTCTTGCTGTTATCCAATAGCGGTCAAGAATTGATGGAGGGCAATGAAACCCCCATTCACACAGATCCATAAAACAGTTTACTGCACTTTACGGTTTAAAATAACTTAACTAGTACAAGTTTTGGTTGAGAAGATTCGTCAAGCTCAAGTGACGTGGACCAACTGGCATGCATAGATCGCATAGATTAGGTAAAAAATCTTAGCATATTTTTAATTTTTGGCAAAAAAAAAGACAATAGCCCCTGCGCATGAGGCTAAACATTCTAAACCCAAAAATTGGCAAAATTCAGAGAAACAAAAGCAGAATAGAGGAAGGAAAAAACATCGCATTCAATACAGCTATCGATTTCTGTATCGAATGCAAGGTTTTTTTTCCTTACATTACTTATTCTGCTTTTGTTTCTCTGAATTTTGCCAATTTTTGGGTTGAAAATGATTCTTTGAGCTTAGGCGCAGGATTTGTCGTCCTATATATCACTAAAACTTCAAAATCTACCGAGATTTTATACCTATTCGATGCAATATATCGTATTCCAGTCCAACCACGTCACTGGATCTTAACGAATCACCTTAACAATCTGAGAGGCAAGCAGCCAAAACGTTTAAAAAGAACACAGATTGGTCCAGATCGCTAACATCGGCAGAAGAGCGTGAGTAGTTTTGTGAGCGCCATTGGCGGGCAAATCCATGGGCATTTAAAACTAGGAACCAAAACTGAAATTTTGGCTATTTGCAGCAGATTTTCGGCGGGAGAATACTTCTTTTTCAGATTTTTGTCGGATGAAACGTTCCGAAGAATTCAAGAATTAGTTTCTCAGTAGAATTTATGTGGTTCAATATTTCCAGATTAAAAGATGCAGCACTTTCCCCCTTAATTTGGAATGTCTATCTCTCATCTATTCTGGATGAATTGATCTTCACCGCCAGATTATAATATGTCACATTTTTGAAGTTTAAAGCCTTAGAAACCGAAAATTAAAGCAAAATCCTAGCAAAATGAGACTTTTGGTTCCTAGTTTTGAATTCCCGCCAGGCCCCCCATGAGAGCAGTTAATTGCTACCGACTGTTGTAAGAATATTGAAACAGGATACTTAGCATAACAGTACTTGATAAAATTTTATTTGATCAATTACCATTATTACACATTACTATTTATACTTCATTAAAGCTTTATAATCAGATTCAAGAGGAAATTTCTCTCGATCCTGTCAAGTTCTTTCGCTATTGGTAGTGCCATCAATTTTCTAAAGTTGCCTAACCTGTAGCAAATTTACTCACGCTTTCTAAGCATTGGCTAGATTGAACGTTAGCGATCTGGACTAATCTGTGCTCACGCTTTCTAAGCATTGGCTAGATTGGATGTTAGCGATCTAGACTAATCTGTGAAAAAAACTGGCATTTGGATGATGTCTCTAGCATCAGATTTGATTGCTGAATCATCCTAGTCCTTGCGGATCAAAATTGATTCTTTAACTTAAAACCATTTACCACACAGTAGAAGCTTAGATCAAGGTCAGGCAATAGCCAGCATTGGCCGTTTTTGTGTTGTTGGTTTCTTTCTTAATTGACCTTCTCATTTTCTGAATCCTACATCATCAAACCTGCTTTTCTTGAATGGAATGAAAGTGTATTAATTGATATCATGAACACCTGGAGCCAAAGTATAGTGGAATAAGTTTCTCAATGGGTACTGTTCGAACCTGAGTACAACCATCTTATTTTGTGGTAACCAGAACAGACGTATTTGTATAAGCCAACATTCCCAGTAATTATGACTTTCTTTCATGGTTTAAAATACCAATTATAAGTGCAAAGCATTAAAATACTGAAGTAGAGTGCCGACTTACCTCCAACGTCTGAGATTATCCAATCTGGCATGGCTAAGCTGACTATCGCAAAAATGTCTGCCAATGTAAAAAGAGTGCCAGCTATTACAGTTAACTTATCCATGATGAAGTTGGGAAGGCTTTACATACTCAGCGACGGATTATAAGTTAATGTTTCACAGTTACCGTCGATAACTGAGAACTGGAGCATTCTCGAGCCTCCCTAAACAAACTGTAACTTTCACCATGGTACAACAAACTGACACTTCTCAATAAAAGTTACAAGAGCGGAAACCTCACAATACGCTGGAAGAAAATATTAAAATTACTGAAGAGAAACTTGGATTGAGTTTAAAAAAGAATTGACAGCTATTATTCAAGAATACTTATAAGAAACTTTGGACTTTGGAGGTTAGAAAACATTGTTGTCATGTTGTCATTTGTTTAGATCCGTGTATTTTGTAAACAGACTTTGGTGAGTGGAGGAGGAAGTTGTTAGCGGAGTTGCATACACGAAGTATTGAAGGCATTCCCTTACAGATCCAAAAAGTAAGTGCCGTCAGCAGTTGCTGGAATTGAAAAAATGGGCCAATGAATGTTTTATTACATTTTTGCATACCTAAAGAATTTGACCCAATCATCGCGCGAAATTCGTTCCGGCCTTTTGCAAAGGATTTTGCCGTTTACGAGTGATTAAAATGTACGAATGGGTGCACACTGTACAAGTAAAAAACTCAAGAGCAAATGAATTCAAATTTGCATTATATGTTTGTCACGTTTTATCAGCGTTTCATATGCAAGATAAAATACATTTCCAAAATTTTCGACACCCTAATTTTTAGATGATCACATGGAAGCGCACACCAACATTGTAAGTGTGTTAACATCTGTAATTTTACTGAAAAATACTGATGTATGTAGATGTATACCTACTTGGATCATATTTACCAAAAAGGGACCAGCGCGACTACAGTGTTTTTAAAATTACGCAACTTCTACTTCTCTTTTAAAAATACTTAATAAATATGTACCTACAGTACTTATTAAATTTACAAAATCAGTTTCCTACGAAATTAATAATTTTTTGGTGGGAAGCTGAAGCTATTTGCTATTCCGGCAGATTTTTTTAGACAATTATGAAGAAGCAACTCTCTTACGACACTGTAATTGCACTGGTTCCTTTCAATCAAATTTGATAACTTCAGTGATTGAATACACGACTCAATAATGAATCCTCGCACATTGAAATTTGTAATAATTCGTAGGATTCAACGATGACATCACAACAAGGTCGCGAAAAGAGAGGAGAGATGAAAGACGAGAGGAAAATTGGAAAGAAAAAAACTCAGAACATATTAAGAAATAAAAGCTGACAAGTTTTCCAGGAAATTCCCATTTGATCGGAGGAAATTTGGCAACGCCCGAGTGTTCGTGCGGCGCGGCGGTTTTTCTCCTCGCTTCAGTATTAATATCCGAGCAAAAGAGGATGATATAGGTAATAACGCCTTGATGCAACTATACGTGCTCTATGGACATCCGTGTTGCGTCCTAAAAATTGAAGGCACCCTGTAATTCTGAAGTATGATGCAGCGCCCGCGGCGACACGCTGCTGCTGTCACGACTAGGTGTGGCGATGGAATATAATATCCTGATTCGTGAGTTGTGAGAATGGTGCAAAAATATTATTCTCTGTTCTCCTGCCTTCATTTTTGTCAGAGAATTTCATCATGCCACATACTTGTAACGGCGCGCCCCATGCGTGCATTATTTCATGGACCAGAGTGACCGGAACGCCTTCCATTTTTTTATATGCAACACGCATGTCCAGAGAGTTCGAATAGTTGTATCAGGAGGTTATTATGAATCCGTTACATCTGAATGCGTTGCCTATTTTGACTGATGAGATACTGGCACAAGAGAGTCCACCCCGCCTTATTCTACGTGAGTGTCGTTTAAGAAATTGAATTAAAATATGTTGATATCTTGAAGCCGCTAGGGTAAAAACAACTTTAATCGATATTTTCATTTTTATTTCATGAGGCATTTCATCAGAGTGTTAGTAATTTTTCCAACGTACACCAAAATTTCAGTCCGAAACTTAATATCTCATTCTTGAGAGAAAAATCCCACCCGAGCACAATATTTTCTCTCAAGAGAAAAAAAAAATTGTGTTCGGATGGGCTCTCCCTCTCTATTAATAGAATTAAGTTTTAGATTGAATATTGGGCGCACGTTGGCAAAATTACCAACACTTTAAACGAGTCCTGCGTCGACCCGCATTTTCATTTCTATAATTTCATCCGTTGACTTTACTTGGGGATTAAGACTGTTTTTAACACCTCAATTTAGCGTGCCATAGGCTTTTTTCTCGGTTATTTCAGATCAGATGATGTTCGGGACTGAGAAGGTGAAAATGGGACGGACCATAGGAATCGTACTTTCATGGTTTCGAAGTTCCTCAGCTCTCTTTGAGATCCATTCCTGACTGGAAATCAACCCCCCCCCCCCCCCCCNTCCAGGACATAATAACTCACCTACAATAATCGAAGAAAAAAAACTGGCACAGGTGATCTGAGACGCCTTGTGCTTATAATTTTCAACGCAAAACTGATTGATAGAACTTAGTGACATAGTGTCAACAACATTCTTAATCCCCGAGTAACATGAACTGGTGAATTTGGGCCCCAGAAAATGAAAACAAATATTAATTAAATTTGCTTTTTTTTTATAAACCAAAACAACCTTAAAATATTTAATAGTAATTTTTAATAGGAAAAAAATGAAAACTATGTGATACTGTTTTGCCAAAACGAGTTTTGAACTCAAGCGAAAAGTTTCACTGCATTGCCGTCTCATCAAAAGGTTTTGTTTGGAACAGATTTGAACAAAATACCCCAGTTTCCCTACAAAAAAGGGCATTTGTGTGACAGACTCTTTGGCAACGGCTGGTGTGAATTGGTTCCTTTCTGCCTAATGCGGTTCAAATACCTATTATTCAGAGAGAAAATCAACCCGAAAAAATTCTCCTCCCCCCACTTTTTCTCGACCCCTTTCTCAACCCGCCTTCCTCGTTCATTTTAGCCTAAAGACTAATCCTGGTGAAATTTCAGCATCATAACATCGATAAATAATTCTTACAAAGTTGCTCTGCTCGCTATTCCAATCATCATGCACATCAGAAGATTCGTCAGAGACACGCACCGATTCATTGTTCACAAATTGAACCGGGGGTCGATGTTTAATTAGTGAATGCTGGATTCCATCTCGAGCTGTGTACGCGAGCACTTACCGACTTCTGGTCGCGCATTTCAGTGAGCAACGACACTTGAGTATTTTTAAAAAGTCTGCTGATAAGTATCTGCTCCATCGCGCAATGCTGTTTGAAGCAGAGTCGCTCATTAAGGTGGACAACCATGCCTAGCGCCGCCGGAGTGCTCACGCTTATGGGTGTCTTACCTTAAGGGAGTTTATCCGATCGGGTTTTGTAAATTTTCGTGTTCTCACTTCGGCATCCTCATGGCAGAGAGCGGAGATAGGAAGGAAAGTCTCAGTTGGCGCTGTTGGTCACGGACGGTACGATGTTCCAAGTAATGTTTTTTAACTATAAATTTGATCACCTAGGTATTCAAAAGCAAAAAAATAAACATGAAAAATCCATGACATCTGATATAGCCCAGGCTGTGACAATATCATTTACTGACTGCAAAAAAGTGTTCATGGGGTAATTCTATGCGAATTCCTCCCATCGTTTGTATAAATTGATGTTAATGTTGAAAGTAAGAAAAAAACACGTACAAACCATGATACGGACTACATTTTGCAATTCAGAACTATATACAGTTAGTGGCTTTAGTTTAGAAATAACGTGTGTACCATTAGTTTTCCTATGCACATAAATGTTTTTATGGATGAGCCGGACATTGTAGTTCGTATTGCAAAATGTAGTCCATTTGTGACGTTGCAAATTGTTTGTTATATGCGATGAAGTTAGGCAAATTATGTCTTAAGGTTGAAGCTCAAATCATTCAGCATAGCGAGACAACCAATTTGGAATGAAACATCAATTTTCAATTTTTAATAATAGAAGCTTACATATACTTATTCCTAGGAGCACTATGGATCAAAGTTTTTAGCCCATGAATTATGCCTCAAGCGTTTGAAATGAATCGTTTTTAAGGCTGACAAACTTTAACAGGGTTTTCTCGAACTTCGTGCCTTTTGTCCTCAAACATGTAACTACCAGGGCATATTTTTGGGTGTACATGAGTCGTTTCTAAATTTATTGTAAGCCAGATATTTTAGTTCCAAATTGCAAAATGCAGTTCAAGTAGCAATTTTGTTCGTCGGCGTAAACCGGCTTTATTTTATGAAATATAAATTTGATCACGATTGCGATAAAATTTTTGCCAGCAGAGTAATCTCTCAATACTTTCAGCTTATTGCTTGCAGTGGGGCAATGATGGCGTTTGTTTTCAGTGGCGTCACTGAGGGTCAGTCGGCCGTACTGTTACCTCAACTGAAAGATGAAGCCAGCCCCATTCATCTCACTCCTGAGGAGGAAACGTGGATAGGTGAGTTTATCAGAGATTCTAAAAGTATGATGAATGAAGTTTGGCAGTAAATCTGTCGAGAAAACCAAAGCTATACTTACAAAGAGAGTAATGATTACGTTGAAGTCTGTCCTACATAGGGTGTCCCAAAAGTACTGCATTTTTGTTTTGGGCGAACGGTACCAGATATCGAAATGAGGTTTGCGTACACTTAAAGTCCAAGTAATTACCTATAAAACAAGACAAATTTGAGCTCTATAAGTCAAAAAATGACTATATTACAGTGTTTTGAAAATGACATGTCGAGGTGACCCCTCCAGGATTTTTAGTGGTAGGGTAGGCACGCGATAGGATGGGCCAACTAATCGATAGCAAAAGTGCGAAACCAACGTATCTCAATTGCGATGTTTCAAAATTTCCACTCCTACCCTATTTTTTTTGGGGATGAAGAAGGTAACTTAATCGCTTGAAATTTGTGCCGAATATTCCACTTTCAGAGTGGAAAACTCAAGGAATTTTCCAAGAATATATTTTGGTCGAGTAATTTTTCAAAGAGAAGGTGATGCATTGTAAGAAGTCCGCGACGTCGCAGACGGAGACACGTGGTTTCGCACTTTGGCTATATTGTGTTTAGACGATGAGTTTATTTAGGTGATCATTCCTTTCTCCTGAAAATGAATGACATGATGGCATGATTGGCATGACAGGCACTTCAATCTCGGTTATCGAGTATCGACATCATGTTGATTTATGATTATTTTAAAGTTATTTGGTAGTTGTTTTACAGAAAATAGTCTCAAGAGACGTGAAAGAATAACTATCGAGAGATAGGGTGAAATTGGGTGAGCACTCAGGAAGTGATCGATTTTAATCAGAAAAACGGGGCTACATTTTGCAACTAGGAGCCACAATTTTCTGGCTAACAATAAGTTTAGGAAAAACATACATACTCTATGTTTATAAGTGTTTTTACGAATGAGCCCCAAATTGTAGTTCCTAATTGCAAAGTGAAGTCCAAACAGGTATACGACACAATGATCACAGTTTTTGTAAGTTTCCTTTTGAACTGAAAAAGAATTACGAATGTTCTCATAATTGCTTTGTTATAAAAAGAAGAAAATTCCCTGTGTTCCATTTCAGTGAAAAAATTGCAGAAAGAGAAAGAGGCGTCGCCATTTATTGAGTATTTTCCTCAAACCAACACGCGCCAGGCATATAAGGCGCTGATGATGACGCGACGCCACGGACGCTGCGCTATGTGTTTAGACTATAGCGCCTGGCTGGATGCAACTATTCGTGCTCTAATGCTCTACGGATGTCCAAATTGCATATCAGAGAATTGAAGGCGCGCTGGCTTTACTAGCCTGCAAAGTTACGCATATTGAAGGTGTAAGTCGGCAATCACATATAACTCGATTTGAGACGTTGCAGACCTCCCGTCATACTGTATTTTTTAAACGGAAAATTTTGGAGAGTTTTCTCCTCTGTGCGAAGAGAATTCTGCACAAACTTCAAAAAAATGATGTCAATTTGTTCTCCTTTGAAAAAATAACATACAGGGCCGGATTTAGGGGGTGGCCACATGGGCCGCGGCCCATGGCGGCAAATTTCGGGGGCAGCAAATTTTGCAATTTTTTTAAATGTAAGTAAAAGCAAATCCGATTAAGAAAAAACATACAAACGAGAAAAGGCGACAAAATCTCTCATTTTCTGAGAGTAGAGTAATTTCTATTTTTGTCGTCTTTTGGCGATACAAGAGAAAGCACCTTTTATTATTCGAGTTTAGAGAGAAACCAAACACGCAATTTGGCCTGGCACGGTGCGGCGCGGCGCAGAGAGCAATAATGACGAGAACTTGAGATGAAAAATAGAAGCCCTCGGCGCGGCGCGGCGGTCAGCATGTTACACATATTAGCGCCTGCAAGACTACATGCATACTTCACGTATTGCATTAAACACAGTGCCGTCAGCAGCGGTCGACGTGAAACGCATAGCGCCTGCAAGACCGCATGAATACTTCACGCATTGCGCCAAACACAGTGCGGTCAGCGAGGCCAAGGCGGCGGAAATTAAAATTACTAAACCGCATTCATGTTTGTTCTTTCATAATTTTTTCGTTCAATTCTTATAAATGTAAGGCCTTGCCCACACAGTGGTACTTTTACGGAATTTAACTTTCGCTCAAGTTCCGAGAACTTTTGCTAGTAGTGTTGACAGGGCCTTCGCAAAACATGTGTCCAACACGATTAAACGCGTCTTATGTACCCCTCCCCTCCCCCTCCGGCACGTTCACTTGATGGTTTTCATTGATGTTTCAAAACAAACGAGAAGGGGGCGGCAAGTCGGGAAATCCGGCCCTGATAACATAGAGGCGGAGATTTTAAGACACCGCAAACGAGAGATGTGATTGCAGATTTACGCCATCGATATGGCCAGGCGCGATATTATTTTAACAAGAGGAGTTCAAGAGCAAGGGGACCCAAGGCTGAGAAGAGGGGCAAGTAATGCATTGGGGAATCCTCTTATCATGTCGTGTTATTGTTATTGTTAGATTGGCCGTTTATAATTACGTTAACCTGAAGGTCGAAATTTAATACCCCACCCCGCTTCCACGTCGGGATGGTACGGTTCTGGGCTAGACCCCCCCCCCCACTCCCCCCGCTTAAAAATCACGTCATTTTCCGTCGCATGCTCCCAATTTTTACCAAAAAATCAGCATTATCCATCAGCATCCTTATCAAAACATAAAAAGAATCCTAAAAATTATCGCTTCATTTTTCCTAGGGAGTGAAGCCACTCGGAGGACTTGAGAAGTGAGAGGACTTTTGTCCGCGGTGTGAATGAATTAGTTTTGCACGGTCATATAAGAAGTTTTTACTTAGAATAATTACTTAAGTAAAAAACTGTAATAATGCATGATTATAATAATTGTCGTGATTATACCAGCCAGTCTAGGAATTGTCCTGTCTCCGGTGTCAGCCTCACTCACTGGACCAATCACGGATGCTTTCGGGCGGAAACTGGGACTGGTGGTTTATCACATCATAATGGGGATAGGTTTTGCTGTTATTGCCGTAGCTAAAGAAGTGTGGCACTTCTACGTGGGCCGTTGCATATGTTCTTTCGCCATTGGTAAGGGAAATCCTCACTTTTTCCTCCGCCCAGTAACTTTAACGAGTATATCGAAAGAATTGTTGATAACTGGACCACGTTCAGCAGAAATGAGCCAAGTTACATCAGCTGTTGCCAAATTTGACTGGGAAATTTGATTTTTTACAAGAGAACGTTTGTGCGGATTCCTTTGAAAATTTTAAGGAATTTGCTTCGTACTGTGCAAACAATTCACTGAAATTTGCACGAAAATCTTCACAACCGTTTTCATGTAAAACATTAAATTGCCCAGTTATTGTTGGTTTCGCTGAATCGGCAAGCCGAAATGAAAATCTGGTCCCAAAGTTGCGAAATGTGTGTTTTATTCGTAGAATTTTGTTCAAGAAGGACTGAAAACAAAAAGATTGTATTTCAAAACCGGACGAACTGATATCTACGCAAGGCTTTTCTTTTATTTTAACTATTTGTGCCTACATCAGGGATCATAAAAATCATCTTGACGTGCGAAATGGCTTACAATTCGCCCGCGTTTGGCAGAAAGGAATCAAGCCAAATCAGCTGTTGCCAAATTTACCTGGGAGATTTAATTTTTTACAAGAGAACGATTGTGTGGATTCCTTTGAAAATGTTAAGGAATTTGCCTCGTACTATGCAAACAATTCACTGAAAGAGCCTCCCAAAATTTCGCCCCTTTTTCGATATTCGATTCGACCACGAACCAAGGTTCAAGTGGAAGCTTATAATAACAGAAAACTCAGGAAAAAATTTCAAGATGAGTAAATACGAACCGTTTTCGAGTTGCGGGTGGGCAAAGGGGTCAAACCCCGGCCTTATTTTTCGCTATTTTCTTGTTGAATTGATATGTCCACGGGGTTGTTATCGTTGTTTACACATGTTATACACACCGGATCCTACGTATTTTTACACACAAAATCGAGTTTTAATGTTGACGATTCGATAAATCAATCGATTATATCGATTTTGTTAAGATTCTTTACGGAAAATCGACGATTTTTTGAGATTGATATTGTTCATTATTGATTCATGGATGACTAAATGCACCAAATATGACTGTAGTACATCGACACCTACGTATTTTTTCTTGTAGAATCAATTTTTAACGTTAACGAGTCGATATATCAATCGCTTATATCGAATTTATACGATTATTTAGGAAAATCAATGATATATTGGTATTGAAATTGGTTACTCTCCATCCGAGAACAACCAAATTTTGGGTTGGAACACATTTCCGGTCGGGTCGATTTCCAGTCGAGTCAAGTTTTCGATTGGGGCACATTTCCGGTCGAGTAGATATTAAGATTTTCGATTTCAGGTCAAATGAAATTTCGGGTGGATAACGAATCCCGTTGATTGTGGTTTCCGGTCGGTCAGATTTCCGATCGAATACGCCTCCTGCAGCCGGAATTTTCGGCCTTTGAGCCCGGAACGGACGGTATTGGCGCCTACAAACCTAACAGGGATACTTCACGCATTGAATCAAATTTTCAGTCGAGACAAATTTTCGACAGGGACACGTTACCGGTTGGAAACAGTTTCCAGTTGGGTTAATTTCCGGTCACGTCATATATGGATGAAGTACGGTTCCAGTGAATTGGAATTTTGGGATGGGTCAGATTTCAGGTTGGATCGAATTTCCAGTTGGGTCAAGTTTTCGATTGGAGCACGTTTCCGGTCTAGAAGAGTTTACGGTTGTCGATTTCCGGTTTAGTAAAATTCGGCCGGACGATTGGTTGATTGATTTGAGTTTCTGGTGGGTAAGATCACCGGTTGAGTAAAGTTTTGGTTTGCAGGGTTAGATCAGGTTTTCGGTTGAGTAGGATTTGTGGTAAATTTGAGTTTCCAGTTGGTTTAAAGATTCAGTTAAGTGAATCAAGTTAAATCGTTTAATTGAACGATCCCAATTTTTTTAATTGAAGATTTGCGTTGTCCAGGAAGATCATCGATTGTTGAATCCAAGAATTCCGAGGAATGCACCAGAAACAAAAAAGAAACACACATGCTGATCACAACAGAGAAAAGTAAATCTAAACATCAAGATGGAAATAAATATCTCTGAAAATTTTATCAGTGTATATGTCGCAGGCAGTCAGCAATCGCCGGCAATTTGCAAGCTCCGTACTTGTCAATTCGTCAAATTGTAATTACGATAACATCGATACAGTAAAGGTTTCTTTAGCGGAGAAATTGAAGGCACGACCTCAGCTTGGAACGCCTTCAAATCCAGCCATACTCTCCGCTTTGCCAAGGAGTTAGTTTAGTTGCTTAACCGAACCTAACACAGATTATTGATGACATTTCACTAACTCGCGAGTGTGCTAGCTGGCACCATGTATCCAAGCAGTAGGGGCGAACGTATGTTCGAATGCAAAGCATAATAATCCCTACTTTCAATCTCGTTTTTTCACTTTAAAACGATTTAATTTGTTGATTAAACACGAATAGATTGCAATTTGCCGGCGATTGCTAATTGCCTGCAACACATATACCTGAGAATGTTTGTGAAGAAATTAATGAGAGAAAAAATTACTGAATGAACAATCACAATCACTGCCTGTGCGAATGTTAAATTAAACAATACTAAAGCACTTTATCGATGGTGGAAGTGCAGAAGTGCGAATCTCGGAAAACACGATTTTCCAGGAGAGTAAAAAAAACTGTCTGCATTCCTCTTTATTGTCGATAGAAGGGTAATAATTCTTGAGGATGGCAAGAATAAGATGTTTTTTCAAACTCAATCAGCAGTTTCAATAATTTCTCGAACTGTTAGAAAATACGGCAGAAATGCCGAGATTCGCGTTTTTGACACTAAAAATCCACACTTCATCAGGAGATACGCATTTTTACAATTAGTGTTTTAAACTTTTAGGGGGATTTGGATCATTTAAAGACTGAAAAAAGGGTTTCATGAAGAAAATTCCTCACCACAAAAGATAAAAGAAAGAAATGCCGAGATTTGCGTTTTTGGCACTAAGAATCGACCCTTCATCAGTAGATTCGCATTTTTGCACTTAGTGTTTTAAACTTGTTGGTGGATTTGGATCATTTAAAGACGGGAAAAGGGGTTTCACACTTCAATTTGCTTATCAGATAAGATTTAGTTGGTCATCGATGCTCCATCCATCCATGCTTTACGCTCTCCTGATGGACCAGTGAACAAAGTTCCTTTTCTTCAATTTTGACTATTCACAGTTATTCAACGAAAGCTGTTTTTATCCGTGCGAAACAATTTATATTCACAACCGCTTTTCCGTAACTTGTGATCATGTAAACGGTAACTCTTTCAGTTTCGCTTCAGGAATACGATGACCGAGCCATGGGCCTTAAAATACATAATCTGATCCAAGCGCCTGAGCTCTCTCCTTTGAAATAAGACGTAGAGACCAAAAACAATCGTATTATTTTTTCAAAATAAAGAGTCCTCGGCATTTGCCGATTATGAGGCTCGATTTAAAACCCAAAATTATAAACTTTTTAGTCAACATCATTGTACAAGGTCACTTACAATGAATAAAGAAGAGCGGCTTCAAATCAATCCGTAAACTTAATGCGAAATTCTAATACCACTATTCGTGCGTCCCGGCAGTGATTTTGCATACCCGCCCATTTGAAGGCGACTCATTGACTTTCTGCAACGGGGTAAAAATTACAGCACTGTCATTCGAGCACTGTCCCCTCTGGCAACAAAAAGGCCATGCACCGAGGCTGCCCCCCTGGCAACCAAGAGGCCCTAACCCGGGGCCATCCCACTGGCCCCTAAGAAGCCCAAGCCGCGGGCCGCCCCCTGGCCCCTAAGGAGCCCAAGCCGAGAACCTCCTCCCTGCAGCTAAAGAGCCCAAGCCGGGTGCCGCCCACCTGGCACCTAAGTAGCCAAAGCCGCGGGCCGCTGACACCTGGTATCTAAAAAGCCAAAGCAAGGAGCCGCCCGGCGCCCACCTTGCCCCTAAGGAGCCAAATCCGGAGGCCACGTCGGCGATAGACATAAATTCCACAGGCAGGTGAAAGGAATGCAGGGAGCCGGGGACTGACTGTGGAATGTCACTGATAGACATAAATTCCACCCTCCGGTCCGTAATGCTTCAACCGGTGAGAATCCTGGCATTTCAGCGCAGAGACAGCGTACGACGACTCCTTACGGAACGTCGGCGATAGACATAAATTCCACAGGCAGGTGAAAGGAATGCAGGGAGCCGGGGACGGACTGTGGAATGTCACTGATAGACATAAATTCCACCCTCGGGTCCGTAATGCTTCAACCGGTGAGAATCCTGGCATTTCAGCGCATAAACAGCGTACGACGACTCCTTACGGAACGTCGGCTATAGACATAAATTCCACAGGCAGGTGAAAGGAATGCAGGGAGCCGGGGACTGACTGTGGAATGTCACTGATAGACATAAATTCCACCCTCGGGTCCGTAATGCTTCAACCGGTGAGAATCCTGGCATTTCAGCGCAGAAACAGCGTACGACGACTCCTTACGGAACGTCGGCGATAGACATAAATTCCAGAGGCAGGTGAAACGAATGCAGGGAGCCGGGGACGGACTGTGGAATGTCACTGTAGACATAAATTCCACCCTCGGGTCCGTAATGCTTCAACCGGTGAGAATCCTGGCATTTCAGCGTAGAAACAGCGTAAGACGACTCCTTACGGAACGTCGGCGATAGACAAAAATTCCACAGGCAGGTGAAAGGAATGCAGGGAGCCGGCGCCGGACTTTGGAATATCACTGATAGACATAAATTCCTCCCTTGAAACCGAAAGACTTAAACCGGTGAGAATCCTGGCATTTCAGTGCAGAAACAGCGTACGACGACTCCTTACGGAACGTCGGCTATAGACATAAATTCGAGAGGCAGGTGAAAGGAATGCAGGGAGCCGGGGACGGACTGTGGAATGTCACTGATAGACATAAATTCCACCCTCGGGTCCGGAATGCTTCAACCGGTGAGAATCCTGGCATTTCAGCGCAGAATTAACGTACGACGACTGCTTGAGGAACGTCGACAGTAGACATATTTTACACAGGCAGGTGAAAGGAGTGCAGGGAGCCGGGGACGGACTGTGGAATGTCACTGATAGACAAAAATTCCAACCTCGGGTCCGGAATGCTTCAACCGGTGAGAAGCTGGCATTTCAGCGCAGAAACAACGTACGACGACTCCTTACGGAACGTCGGCGATAGACATAAATTCCACAGGCAGGTGAAAGGAATGCAGGGAGCCGGGGACGGACTGTGGAATGTCACTGATAGACATAAATTCCACCCTCGGGTCCGTAATGCTTCAACCGGTGAGAATCCTGGCATTTCAGCGCAGAAACACCGTACGACGACTCCTTACGGAACGTCGGTGGTAGACATAAATTCCAGAGGCAGGTGAAAGGAATGCAGGGAGCCGGGGACGGACTGTGGAATGTCACAGATAGACATAAATTCCACCCGCGGGTCCGTAATGCTTCAACCGGTGAGAATCCTGGCATTTCAGCGCAGAAACAGCGTAGGACGACTCCTTACGGAACGTCGGCGATAGACATAAATTCCACAGGCAGGTGAAAGGAATGCAGGGAGCCGGGGACTGACTGTTGAATGTCACTGATAGACATAAATTCCACCCTCGGGTCCGTAATGCTTCAACCGGTGAGAATCCTGGCATTTCAGCGCAGAAACAGCGTACGACGACTCCTTACAGAACGTCGGCGATAGACATAAATTCCAGAGGCAGGTGAAAGGTATGCAGGGAGCCGGGGACGGACTGTGGAATGTCACTGATAGACATAAATTCCACCCTCGGGTCCGGAATGCTTCAACCGGTGAGAATCCTAGCATTTCAGCGCAGAATTAACGTACGACGACTGCTTGAGGAACGTCGACAGTAGACATAAATTCCACAGGCAGGTGAAAGGAATGCAGGGAACCGGGGACGGACTGTGGAATGTCACTGATAGACATAAATTCCACCCTCGGGTCCGTAATGCTTCAACCGGTGAGAATCCTGGCACTTCAGGGCAGAAACAGCGTACGACGACTCCTTACGGAACGTCGGCTATAGACATAAATTCCACAGGCAGGTGAAAGGAATGCAGGGAGCCGGCGCCGGACTTTGGAATGTCACTGATAGACATAAATTCCTCCCTCGGGTCCGTAATGCTTTAACCGGTGAGAATCCTGGTATTTCAGCGCAGAAACAGCGTACGACGACTCCTTACAGAACGTCGGCGATAGACATAAATTCCAGAGGCAGGTGAAAGGAATGCAGGGAACCGGGGACGGACTGTGGAATGTCACTGATAGACATAAATTCCACCCTCGGGTCCGTAATGCTTCAACCGGTGAGAATCCTGGCACTTCAGCGCAGAAACAGCGTACGACGACTCCTTACGGAACGTCGGCTATAGACATAAATTCCACAGGCAGGTGAAAGGAATGCAGGGAGCCGGGACTGACTGTGGAATGTCACTGATAGACATAAATTCCACCCCCGGGTCCGTAATGCTTCAACCGGTTAGAATCCTGGCATTTCAGCGCAGAAACAGCGTACGACGACTCCTTACGGAACGTCGGCGATAGACATAAATTCCACAGGCAGGTGAAAGGAATGCAGGGAGCCGGGGACGGACTGTGGAATGTCACTGATAGACATAAATTCCACCCTCGGGTCCGTAATGCTTCAACCGGTGAGAATCCTGGCATTTCAGCGCAGAATTAACGTACGACGACTCCTTACGGAACGTCGGCGATAGACATAAATTCCACAGGCAGGTGAAAGGAATGCAGGGAGCCGTGGACGGACTGCGGAATGTCACTGATAGACATAAATTCCGCCCTCGGGTCCGTATTGCTTCAACCGGTGAGAATCCTGGCATTTCAGCGCAGAAACAGCGTACGACGACTCCTTACGGAACGTCGGCGATAGACATAAATTCCAGGGCAGCGGTTGCCAGGGGGGCAGCCTTGGGTAAGGGCCTCTTGTTTGCCAGGGTGGGCAGCCCTGGATCAGGGCCGCTTGGTTGCCTGGGGGGCAGCCCCGGTGAAGGGCCTCTTGGTTCCCGGGGGATCGTTCAATTAAACGATTTAACTTGATTCACTTAACTGAATCTTTAAACCAACTGGAAACTCAAATTTACCACAAATCCTACTCAACCGAAAACCTGCACCAACCCTGCAAACCAAAACTTTACTCAACCGGTGATCTTACCCACCAGAAACTCAAATTAATCGACCAATCGTCCGGCCGAATTTTACTTAACCGGAAATCGACAACCGTAAACTCTTCTCGACCGGAAACGTGCTCCAATCGAAAACTTGACCCAACTGGAAATTCGATCCAACCTGAAATCTGACCCATCCCAAAATTCCAATTCATTGAAACTGTAATCCATCCGTATTTGACGTGACCGGAAATTAACCCAACTGGAAACTGTTTCCAACCGGTAACGTGTCCCTGTCGAAAATTTGACTTGACTGAAAATTTGATTCGATCGGAAATCTGACCGACCGGAAACCACAATCAACGGGATTCGTTATCCACCCGAAATTTCTTTTGACCTGAAATCGAAAATCTTAATATCTACTCCACCGGAAATGTGCCCCAATCGAAAACTTGACTCGACTGGAAGTCGACCCGACCGGAAATGTGTTCCAACCCAAAATTAGGTTGTTCTCGGATGGAGAGTAACCAATTTCAATACCAATATATAATTGATTATCCTAAATAATCGTAAAAATTCGATATAAGCGATTGATATATCGACTCGTTAACGTTAAAAATTGATTTTACAAGAAAAAATACGTAGGTGTCGATGTATGTACTACAGTCATATTTGGTGCATTCAGTCATCCATGAATCAAAACTGAACGATTTCAATCTCAAAAAATCGTCGATTTTCCGTAAAGAATCTTAAAAAATCGATATAACCGATTAATACATCGAATCGTCAACATTAAAATTCGATTTTACGTGTAAAAATACGTAGGATCCGGTGTGTATAACATGTGTAAACAACGATAACAACCCCGTGGACATATCAATTCAACAAGAAAATAGCGAAAAATAAGGCCGGGGTTTGACCCCTTTGCCCACCCGCAACTCGAAAACGGTTCGTATTTACTCATCTTGAAATTTTTTCCTGAGTTTTCTGTTATTATAAGCTTCCACTTGAACCTTGGTTCGTGGTCGAATCGAATACCGAAAAAGGGGCGAATTTCAGCCCTCATTTTGGGAGGCTCTTTGCACCAAAATCCGCACTACCGTTTTCTTGTAAAAAATTAAATTGCCCAGTTAAATTTGGCAGTAGCTCACGTGGCTTGGTTTCAGTCCAGACAATAGCACCTATATAAGGAGAGCACGGACATGTCGGTAATTTTGGAAGTTTGGTCATGGAGCTCGGAGGGCCTAACAGGGAAGCCAACCTGAGCACTAAATTATCCAAAATGATTAATTATTACTTTTACGACCCGTTGTTTGTAAAGCACGGATTTGACTTACTCTCAGCATAAATTTACTGATTTTTGCAGAGGGTCGCTCATTTTTGAACATTCTTGGCCATTTTGATGTGACATTGGAATCTAAATATCGGCAGCGGTATGTTTCTAGTGTTTCTAGTGTCAGGAGATTGGCTGCCCTTTTGGGTCCTAAGAGCTCTATATATGGCGTATTTATGCTAAAAGGAACTATGTGCATAGGGATAGCGTGTGACATAGTTCCTTTCAGCATAAATACATCCATATGTCGACATGTCCGTACTCTCCCCACATGGACCCCAGTCCAAAAAAATGACATGCGTATGACTCTCTGTCATAATGCTAGCTTATCTCTCCACACGGAGAAAAAAACTTCGTGCGTGGGACCCGAAGTTGAGGTCATATGGATCTCAGAAGTTTTCGGATCTCGCATCCGAAAACTTGAGATCCAGCTGCCGAAGTCCGGGTCAGACATCTGAGGTACTTCGATATATACCGAAGGGTTCGGGTCACACATCTGAAGTACTCCGGTACGTACCGAAGTGCCGCGATGTCTGACCCGAACTTCAGTAGCTCGACCTCAAGTTTTCGGATACGTGATCAGAAAACTTCAGAGATCCACATGGACGTATTTCTACCAAACAGACCTATGTGCAAGTGAGAAATATGGGGTGTGCTAGTTATTAGTTCTCTTTGCGTAAGAGTGAATGAGAATAAAAAAGCGGCAATGAATGTGCGCACTCTAGTGAGGGGGGAGATCGTTGGAGGGAGTCTTTAACTCATGAGCCCTGTCCACAACGCTCTCTTGCCATGCCCGCGGCTCATGAGTTCCGCATTCAGTTGGCACATAGGTCTCTTTGATAGAATGTAAAATCCCGCTTTCCAATTCTGCAAAAGGAATCACGCCCACTTTTACATTGCTTCTTATGCAGCTTTCTAGAGCACACCCCATATTTCTCACCTCCACATAGGTCTGTTTGGTAGAAATACGTCCACATGACCTCAACTTCGTGTCCCATGCACGAAGTTTTCTTCACCTTGCATGTTCTGATCGACTGTTGTCCTTACAACAGGTCTAGAGGTGGCCGCCATCGTGTACCTGACCGAGACCTGCTCGAAGGAGCAGCGCGGCCTCCTCCTCTCGACGATCTCCCCGGCCTTCACGATCGGCGTCGTCGTTGCCTACGTCATCGGCGGCTTCCTCCCGTGGAACGTCGCCTCGGCCATCTTCGCCGCCGGCTCCTTCCTCTGCTCCCTCGGTCAGCTCTTCGGCGTGGAGTCCCCCGCCTGGCTCTACAAGCGCGGCCACACCGAGGCCTCCACGCGCGCCCTCCGGAGACTCGGCCGCACCCAGGCCGGCATCCGCCAAGAACTCGAGCTCTTCAAACTCACCGTCAAAGAGCAGTCGCAGAAATTCCACCTCCGGGAACTCCTACATCCGACAGTCTGGAAGCCGTTCATCATCATGACCATCTTCCACCTCATCCATTGTGCCACCGGTGTCCATCACATCGTCTACTACACCATCGACTTCATCAACCGTCTCGGCACCACGTACGACCCTCTCACCGTCTCCATCGCCATCTCCGTGGCGAGGACGATCGCCACTTGCACGATCGGGGTCTACTTCACGTCCTACGTCAAACGACGCTTCGCGACGATTCTTTCGGGCACCTTGATGACGATTCTCTCGGTAGGGGCCGGGGTTTACGTCTACGTCTGGCGGGATACGGCCGTGGATCGTCGGCCCTTCCAATGGCTACCGGTGGCGTGTGTGATCGCCTACATCGTCATCGGCAGGGTTGGGGTGACGCCGCTGCCCTGGCTCATGTCCAGCGAGGTGTTCCCTCTCCGAGTCCGGGGGTCCATGTCTGGGGCTACTTTTGTCATCGGAACTGGCTCTATTTTCATTTCGATTAAAATGTACGAAGATCTGATCGCGGCTTTCCATATTTGGGGGCTCTTGTTCATATTCGGCACCGCCTGTTTTTCGGCCGTCCTCCTCGCTGTATTCGTCTTGCCGGAAACTCTGAATAAAACCTTGTATGAGATAGAGCAGTACTTTATGCCAAAGAAAGGGAAGAAATCTGGTGAGCAGGTAGATTCAACATCGCGAGGGGAAGTGTGTTGAGAGAATAATCAGCAGAGACGAGGTGCGAATGATCGATTATCGATAGTTCCCCATTTAAAGCCGTGGTGAAGAATCGATTTTTAAGGCATTCGTTGCGAACACCCTGTTTATCGATCATTTTCCAAAGGTTTATATGGCAGATCAATCGATACTAAAAACACGTGTCCCTCGGGTTTTGTTGAGCCGGTACTAACGAGCAGATATACAAAAATATCCTAAACAAAGATCAGACGTTTGATTGCAAAAAAGGGGGGGGGGAAATTGAGTGTTAACGCAGCCGAATATAGGAGATTCGTATTCAGGCCTCCTTTTTCAACCCTCTTTCCGAATTTGAGCGAAACTTTATTCGCAGCATAGGGCAGAGCATTGCAAGTTCACGCCTCGCGCCATCGCTCCTTTAATTTTGCGGATGCAACACGGACATCCGTCAAGCATAAATAGTTGTATCTCTGCGCCGTCATCTACGCGAATCATTTCCCTTGATCTATTTACATGATGTGTTGGTTCCGTTTGTCTGATTTGTACTCGACTTGGGACTGCGTATACATAAAGTATTGAGCATCTAAGGGTTAAAATGCAAACGAAGAAAGAGTTTCGTTTATTCGACCCAGAGTGAACAGAAAGGAGATAACAGAAAGACCGCTCATATTGCAAGATGTTCCAAAGAACCTGATATTTTCATTGATTTTAAATTTTTTTATAAAAAAATAAAATAATTTGAGGGAAAATTTCTTGTATGCTGTCATTTATTTCACTCCTATTTTTTATTGTTCGTATGAAATACGAGGTTTGAAAGAGAGCAGTGGAGGTTAGGAGTCGTAGAGCGCGAGGGAGTGCTGTAAAGCGACTTATATGTATGTATGTATGTATGTATGTATGAAATACGAAAAAAAAAAAATATGGAAAAAAACGGAAATATGGACGGCTTTTATCGGGGTTATTTCTCAGAAATTGTTGAACATAACTTAGAGAGAGCTCACCTGAATATTCACGACATCAGTGTTCAAAGAATGTGCAAATATTATGCTATAGTCGAAACTTAGTTTAAGTGTGGACTTGATTGAGCTACAAGCATCCGCAATCGCAAAATATCATCACTCACTCTCCTTGTGCACATTTCCCACTACGTCAAACAATTTGTAATTAGATTTTGATGATATCTCTTACACAAGATAAATTATTTTTATGCATGCGAGGAAATCAATTTTACTGCTCATTATATCACCAACAGATCTTTGTTTCACTGATCAGTCATGCTCCATGAATACGCACACTAGGCTGAAACTATGCAATTCTAATGTGTGTGCCGAGCGACAATCTTTATTGATGCTGGAAGTATGACCTTTAGGATGTTAAGAATCATGCATTTCCCTCCATTTTTTGTTTTAAAAATCGGTACCGGCTCTTTAATTTGTATAGCCCTTTTAACCTCCTGTTTTAACCTTAATCGTGAAGTTGTTGCTGCCAATAAGCCATCTGGAATTTTAAACGTAAGTTCCATTGATACAGTTAAAGTCAAATAATAATTTCCATGCAATTTTTTTGAAACTTATACTGAAAAAGTTGATCCAAGTCAAACGAAAATATTTCTTTTTATGAATCTTTTTTCGAATATTCCGGAAGGAATGAGGACTCTTGGGCTGTGAGTTGTAAAATTAAAGCAAGTTGGAAATCAAAGTTGGGACCATCTCGCCATCCTCGAAAGGATCTGAGGGTGAGCAATTTCCGGGAGAAAAAAGTTATACGTGGGTGCCTCTGGGAAGCAAGTCTTACATTATTCCTTGAAAAATCCTATTTCTGGAATATCTAGAGCAAATCATCTCTGCGAAACGTCCGATGTCCATTACATTTTTTCAGAATTGCAGGAGCTTGTTTTGCACTAAAAAGCTGATTAATGAAGTTGATTGCCTTGATGGTGAGTTTTTAATTAAATTTGAGGGAATTTAAATAAAACGATTCTCTTTCGAACATCGTAGAACAACTCTATTTCGCACGTTACAATAAAATCCCCCCCTCCCCCATATTTTTGAAACAATCGAACCGCATATTTAATGTATTCACACAGAATTATTTCTTTGTGAACTACTGAACTGGAAGTATACTAAAACATGAATAATTCGTACCCTAACAATGAAAAAATACTTCCTAAAATTTTGAACAAAATTAGACAACGCCATCGATCCAAGATCAGACCACGAGGTCGTCGAGGAGATTTGTCTTCTGGCGTGGGACTGGAACTCATATTGTCGTCTTTTGACGTTCACCAAAAATGATGCAGATGGATGCCGACAAAATTCGGAAAATTGGGAGAGCCGTTCACTTTTGAGTAAAACAGGCCTTCACAATTAGGAATATGTGATCCCACGCACCAGCCGTGTTTGAATATTTCTTACCGCAGGAGACGAAAGTAAAGGCAGTGTTAAGGGACGTTGTGGGTTTCAGGGCATTCCGTCAACGATTTTTTGTCCGCACACCTGTTTAGTCCGGTAGTTTACGTCCACGCGTGAAATAAGCAACAGTGACTTGGTCCAAGTGTCATATTTTAGACCGTATGTAAAATTATATTGAAAATAATGAAATGAGAAAATTGAGAGAGGCGGAAGAGTTGTTGTGGTAACTCATTTTTTAAATGAAATGTTATTCCCTTCTTTTGATCAATCTTTTTAAATTGTCATGGGTGAATATTTGGTTTTATTTCCATCCTTAAAATTTTCGATGAAAAATAAACCTTATAAATACTTTTTTTTAATGAAAATATTACTTTATTTTAAAAACATTTACATTTTTAAAACGTGGCATATATTTGTATTATTCTATTGCTTTTCCAAGCAATGACATCGATATTGAAGTCAATGAGCAGTAGTTGTGTGGAAAGAAACTATGCACAAATGAATAAAAAAGGGAAAAAACCGAGAAGCACGCAATCTTCGGTTTTAGCCCATTAGTACATCGATCTTTCAGAGTCAAATACGTCCAATTTTGAGCGTTTGGTTGCGCTCAAGCACAGGAAAAGCACAAAATATAAAAGAAAAAATTAATGTGCTTTGAAAATCATTAAATACGACAAGGAAACACCTTAATATTTACAAAACACACATTAAATTTTCCTTTTATGTATATATTTTTTATCAATTTAAATTAAAGTAATCCATGCAGAGTGTGCAAACATATAAAAATCATGAGTTGAAAAACACTGACTCCGCGAGTTTAAATAATAGGCCCTAGCATAAAGCGGAGTGATGCGACGTGCTGCCAGCACGAAACGCGCACTGACGCCTACAAACCTAAGCAGATACTTCACGCATTGCGCAATGCTTGAGGTATCCCTTAGGTTTGTAGGCGCTAATGCGCGTTCCGGGCTGGCTGGCTGACCGCGCCGCAGCGTGCCACGTGCCACGGCGCTTCACTATTTCACAATAGAGGCGTTGTACAGTATTATACGAAATTGAAGGCACTCCAACATACCAACAATAAGAATGACAGGCATCCTTTAAGAGTACGGAACTTTCCTTGCAAAATAAGTCGAGATAAGAGTGATAAAGGAGCATTCTTGAGTATGCCATCAAGAAGATTTTATTTTGAATCAAGAATTAAATAGGTGAACAAATGCGGGTTTCTGCTTGATGTAAGTGACTTTCCTTTTTATAAAAGCATCTTTTCTTCTTTAAGAAAACATTATTTTCTTTATTAACTTATAAGGAAATCTTCTCGGCGGTAAATTTGAGGATATTTCTCCTTAAATTAGGTCACTTGTTCCTCCAATGAAGTTAAGAATCATACTAAACGTTATTAAATACAGATACTAGAGCAGTAAGTTTTTCGACTACCGCTCTCTTTTTGTTGTCGACACTCGATTCAATTTGCGAGGGAACTTCGTGCTCTTGAAAGATGCCATCAATCATGATACGTTGGGGTGCCTTCGATCTCATATGATACTGTGCAACACCTCCGTGGCGAAATAGTAGCTCGAAGCGCTGCGGCAAACCAGTGCCGAAGCGAAGTTATCATGCACAGGAAAAATATAAGATCCTTTAGCTGAGGCAAATCAAAAGGTTTTCCAGTTCAGGTATAAAAATATGAGATTTTCTTAAAAGATAATTAAGTCCTGTTGCACCGAAGAGCTGTAGAGAATTTTAGTGAATTTTCTCTCATGGAAATGACGCTCCCTCATTTTTACCAAAAATCTCAATTATATATTTTTCTCCGTTGGAGCGAAAAAAAAAAACAACAACAAGCAAACACTCATTTTTCCAAGACATTTAACATTTTCATCCAAAAACGTCGTAAGCATTGTCGTTTGTATTTACATGTGGACCAATTAACTTTGGGTCTCAAGTGGTAAGTGGATCAAAACTTCCCTTCCGGAAAAACGCGTGGACGTAAATTACTGGAAAAAACAGGTGCGTGGACAAAAAATCGTTGACGAAATGTCCTATAACCGACGTTGTATGTACATGAAAAGCTATATTCAACCATTGCTTAGACATTGAGCGATAACTATTTAGATACCTATAGTTGTCGTAAGGTTGCATACTTATGATTTTCAAGGAGTTTTAGTGTTATCGTTTCAGACAATTTAATTCAACGACCCTTCACCAATGTCATCGTGATATATATTCGGTGCTGACAAGAATATCGCAGTGCCATAGCGAGATTAATATCGCTTTGTACTGGGAGACATCGCTGCTCTTTCGTTCCGCGATGAAAAATCTGGATGCATTCTTCTCAACTGTTGGGTCACAGGTGTTACAGGGTCGCAGTTGCAAACTATTCAATGAGTATGCTGAGTTGGTTCGGGCGATTCCTGAGTATGAGGTCAAGCTAATAGAGGTAGTCAAGTATAACAAGACATTGCCCGTATTGAATTTTCAGTTCATCCTGCATGATCAGTCAGTAATGAGCTACAAGGTAAGTGTGGTTCTTACTTTTAGATATTTTAATTTTTATTTTAAATTATTGTAGAAAATTTTGAACTTAGATTTGTAGATGTTTTTCGTTGAAAAAAAAAACTAAATTTCAGTGGATGAAGTGAAAAAATGCGTACGTACATTACAACGTTTGAAAACATCCATACTACCAAAATTCTGAAACTCTTCATCTCATCTAAATTTTCGTATATACTCCCATTTTCAAAATTCTCTGTAAAGACGTTAATAGCCTGTGACGCTGAACGTCTTAAAATATACTAATTAACTATTTTTTTCCAAATAAAACTTCACAAAAAAGAAATCCATGAAATTTGTTTCGAGTATTTTTGAATGAGTGAAAATAAATTCACAGAAAATCTCAGGTAAGATAGTTTCTCAATTTTTTCTTGCAAAAACTGAAAAGCGTGCGGAGCTTTACAAGTTCGCAATCGAAGATACGCGTTTTTTTATTGTAGTGATCGATTTGCCTATGAAGCATCTCTTTTCATTCAGTAGTACAATCAATGAGTAGGTATGTGTGGCCACCTGCCATTACGTGACTTTTTACGGACAAAATTTAAACGCGTACCCACATTGAAGGTTCCATTCCTTTTAGTCGGACTGCAAACATTAAACCTAATTCATCTGTCCCTGCGAAAGCATGCTTCAAGTCACGCATCAACACCAAATGGGAGATTATGTGTATGTTTGAAACGATGAATGTTTCAGCTGTGGGTAGATGGATATCAAAAGTACGGCATGGAACATATTTACAAGCGCAGTGCATTGGCGTTGCACACCACTGTTTGTGACTCAGTCAGTGGCAGTTTCTTTTTCACGAATGCCCTGCGCAATTTCACCAATTTACCTAGTAAATGTCCGCTCAAAGTCGTAAGTATACGCATAATGTAAGCTGCACATAAAAAATTGTAAAGTAATGAGTATTAAGAGAATTATTTTGGCTTAAGAATGAAGCGTCATAGGCGTAGTAGTTCTTTTTTTGTGGATGGCCTGGAGGATATCCCCCCCCCCCCCAGTCCTAAGGGGGGTCCGAGGGACCTCTTCCAAAAACGCCCAAGGATTTGACGTTCCCCGTGCATGTGATCATGTGAATGCGATAAAAGTTGTTATTATATTTTTAGCGTACATATTATTTTCAGTTCCATGTTAATGCTTGTAAAAGAAATACACATTGAAACGCAAAAAGTTAATAGTCATGAGTTTTGTTTAGACAAAATCCTTTTCAAATTCAAAGTGGCCCCGGTTTTGCCCTGCTACTTTCAACCAATGAGACCCAGCTTAATTTTTAGCTCTTATCGTTCCGTCTTCATTTTTTTGGACTGGAGAGAAACAGGAAAAGATCACGTATCGTGCGATCTAATATAATACTTCCTCGGCTAGGATTTTTTGTTGCGATGACCCAGAAAAACCACGACGCGATGTGTGCATTATGCCTATTTTTCTCCTCTGATGCTCCGTAATCTCGCCTTTTTTTCAGGGGCACCTTTACTATGTGCGACGGTTTTATTTCAATGAGAAGTCCACACCTCCGACATTTCCGGGCTACAAATGGCGGTTCGACGTTCAAATCGGGCCTGAGGGCTCACGAGACACCAACAGATCATCTCTCTACAGATTTTACCTCCGCGTCGAGTGGCATGATCGCGGTGCAACGTCCTAGCCGAAAGGCAAAAATAACCCGAGGGAGCAAGATTCCATGGAAACGCTTTGATACTGACCGGGGGGTTTGGAAATGCAATCTATAGGTAATAAATCGTATTCGATACCTACATCAAACGGGTGAGATTGTATCGATATCGATTGGTTCAGAACATAAACATACCCTCAAAAGTCAATTGAGTAATCTGACGGAACGGGTTTTTTGTGACAGAGTTTTGATTTGTATACGAGTACTGATTGGCCAAAAGTAGTGAAATTGCTACGAAATTTCTCGTTTTCAGCTTTTCTGATTATTATCCCAAAATTTTGGTTTAGGTTACGTTCTATTGTTTTGAACCAAACGATACATCGAACCACTATCGAATGCGATCCATACTGATTTGAATGGCTTAGAGGACAAGGCGCTTGAGTGCAGTTACGTATAGTGCGATCTAATATTAGACTTCCGCTGCTAGGATTTTTTGTTGCGATGACCCAGAAATACCACGACGTATATATTATGTCTATGTAGAAGATGCTTGTTTGAAGTTTCAGATTTATATGGGAGCCTATGACGGAGAGAAAGCTCAAACTTACTTTTATGATACTTAAAAATTGGATTTTAGTACCAAATTTTTCGCAGAATATTTTTCAAAAGACTATAGTTTCAGTCAAAATCATTAATATCTTGATTTTTTGTAAAAACTCCACTAATGCGCCTTGAAGTCCGTCAAGCCCCTTGATTGATGAAAATCACACACCTGCTTCTTTACCACTTCAAGAAAAGAAAAATGAATTTGAGTTTGTGTGCCCTCATTCATGATGTCTCGTTTTTCTACTTTCATTTCAGCTGGAGCAGAAAGTGAGCAGAAGGAGAAGAGGACGAAGACGAAGAAGAAGAAAAAGAAAAAGAAGAAAGAAATAAAAAACCAGTAATAGTTCAAAACTTTTAGAGGCTCCTGAAACGTATCTGGGCTTGGCTTCGAGCACTACACATTTTTTTTAAAAACGAGCATAAAATCAATGAGCGTGCACCACTCAATAAATACATTATCTTACGGGCTAGGCACCTGAGGACCATATCAGTTCTAAAGACAGCGGACATTACAGCCTATGTGGTACTCAACTTGAGATGTTTGTTCAGAATTAACTAATTATGAATACGAGTAATTTAAAATGGGCTTTTATTTGGAAATCGAAGATTATTTTCACCAGTAATGTCAATAAATAGTCAAAATAAGACATGTCATTTAAAATATTCATTTGGTTTACTAACAAATTTCTAAAAAAAATTGAGATTTGCTCATATTTCATGCGTTCTCATGTATTATCCGTACTATTTCTTTCTCGATTACTTTTCTAAACTTGATCGCAAAGAAGACGTATAAATACGCTTACTAGTTATCTCACCCTCACGACTACAGTCAGATATTGGGGNGGGGGGGGGGGGGGGGGGTGTCTGAATTTGAACTAATCAAATCTTTGCTCTTTTCTCCGTGGCAGAAGAATTTCCTGATCAAATTTTATCCGCACAAGACTTTCTATTCTTGTCAGCATTTTCAGACGATTTCTGCCCTAACCGGTGATGCAAAAGCCTGCATTTTCGAAGAACAGGTCTCTTTTCACAGAGCCAGTTTCGGTTGGACTTTCGACAACCTTCAATTCAGAGGAGGCCAGAAAAAATCAGACAGATCAGCAAAGTGTTTTTCTAATATTCTACCTTGCTTACGAAAAACGCCGTAGAAGCCTCCAGACGTTGCCAAGCTTTCTGTGACTAATCATGTTTTCCCAGGAAAGAGCCGTATGCAAAAACGACATTTTTCGCCCCCCCCACTAAAACTTATTCAAACTTCGTCTATCAGTTACTAATACTGGAGCGCTTCTTTCCCCAAATTTTTAGACCCCCAAAAAATTTTGGGGGGGCGCTAGGGGGGGTGGAAGTCAAAACCTGCGACACTCGATATCTTCCGAACGAAACAAGATATTGAGGCCCGGTTTGGACGAAAAATCGTCTAAAATTGCATACTTTAAGATTCTAAAGGTCAAAATCCCAAAATTAAATTTTTAACTTAACTTATGTGCTTTTTTCAGTTTTTGAGGAAAAACAATTTCTTTTAAACAGATTAAACTGAAATTTCACATTTTTTGATTTGAACCAAAACCAGTTTTTTAAATTGTTCGTCTTTTTCCGCATCCAACGAGTGGTCGTATAAGCTGGGGAATCGAACGGTTCCGGAGTTATGATCGATTGAAGTTTCCGCTCAACGCGCGCCGACCGATTTTTGCGCGCAAAAAAGTCGGATTTGACTGTTATCAAATCAGATTTAATGTTCAAACTGAGCAAAATGCATTATTAGGGACTCTTGAGGGTTGCTGAGTCCAGAAATTACAGATACTTCCAAAAAATTCACGTTTTTAAAATTACAGCTTCGTACAGGACCACTGAGCGGCCGGTCGGCGCTCAGTGGGCCTCTAAAATAGCGCTACGGAGCTGTAATTTTAAAAACGTGAATTTTTTGGAAGTATCTGTAATTTCTGGACTCAGCAACCCTCAAGAGTCCCTAATAATGCATTTTGCTCAGTTTGAACATTAAATCTGATTTGATAACAGTCAAATCCGACTTTTTTGCGCGCAAAAATCGGTCGGCGCGCGTTGAGCGGAAACTTCAATCGATCATAACTCCGGAACCGTTCGATTCCCCAGCTTATACGACCACTCGTTGGATGCGGAAAAAGACGAACAATTTAAAAAACTGGTTTTGGTTCAAATCAAAAAATGTGAAATTTCAGTTTAATCTGTTTAAAAGAAATTGTTTTTCCTCAAAAACTGAAAAAAGCACATAAGTTAAGTTAAAAATTTAATTTTGGGATTTTGACCTTTAGAATCTTAAAGTATGCAATTTTAGACGATTTTTCGTCCAAACCGGGCCTCAATATCTTGTTTCGTTCGGAAGATATCGAGTGTCGCAGGTTTTGACTTCCACCCCCCCTAGCGCCCCCCCCCCAAAATTTTTTGGGGGTCTGAAAATTTGGGGAAAGAAGCGCTCCAGTATTAGTAACTGATAGACGAAGTTTGAATAAGTTTTAGTGGGGGGGCGAAAAATGTCGTTTTTGCATACGGCTCTTTCAAAGTATTTTTCGCCCAATTTTGCGAAGAACTATGTAATTTTATCTAAATTACCTGAAAATTTCCATGAAACATATTCATAACTTTCCCGAAAAACAAGTATTTTCTGAGAATAAATTTGGTTACATTCGAATATTCATACGGCGTTTTTCCTGAACGCGGGAGTATTGGTCTAGCTCTTGAAACCTCGTAATTTAGGGCGCACGCATCATTCATTTGAAATATCTTCTCCTAATGCAGAATCATTTTAACAAATCAGAACATAGATTTGTCAGATGTGTTGACTATAGGTATTCGGATCAAACGCCGAATTGGCAAGGGTTGGTTTGGAGCTGCCGACTCTAAAATTGGTTTCCGAACTATCTTGAGATGAACTTGACGTTTAGATCTATTTCTGATCGTAGGATGAGCTCAAAGGCCGGTTCCATGTCCTGAAACTTTTCAATGGACTCCAACCGAAAATTGCGTAGGATGTAGGACAGCACAATTTTCTCTTCCATCATAGCGAATTTTTGTCCTGAAAAAATAAGCATAATTGTATGAATATTCAACACGAGCACTGAATATCGATGGTCGAAGTACGATTCCACGTATCTGCATTGCGGTGTCTCAATTTTACAGATTCTATTTTATTTTTTCTGAAAGAAACGAGTCAACTTCATAGCTTGAAATTTATACGGAATATTCTGCCAACAGAGAGAAGGAAAATCATGGAAATTTTCAACAAATAACATTGAATATTTCCACCCCCCTCTAAAAAAATAAAGTAATAAAGTTTGCAACGTCACACATGGGGGCACGTAGTTTCGCAATTTGGTCATCGATACGCTAATTTAGTTTTAAAAACACTTTATTTCTCTAAATATCCTCTTAATTGTACTTTAAAATAATGTGCTCATTGGATGCACGGAAAAAATGGATTGCTAATTTAACAATTAATTTTTATAAAAAATATTTACAACATGTTTCAGATTTGCATTTCATAATAGTGGAAAGCTAATTTAACCACAGGGGTGGTTAAATTAGCATTTTTTAATGATGAAATCTGCATTATTGAAACACGTCGGACACTTTTGTTAACTACAAAATTGTTAAATCCAGCGATTTCATTTTTTTTCCGGTTTACGTATCCTTAAGGTGCCGATTGCATTGCTCGATCCCCCCATTTCTTACAGAGCTCGAGTTTTTCTATTTGTTTCTCTGAGTGGAAACAGTCAGGGGTAAACTTACCGATACAGTTCCGAGTTCCCGCAGCAAACGGGACATAGGCGAATGGATGTCTATCCTGGGAATTTTCAATTGTAAATCTGTCAGGGTCGAATTTTTCAGGTTCAGGGAAATACTTCGGATCACGATGTAAATGGAAGACATCCAACGTCACGAGAGACCCCTCCGGCACCATGTATCCTCCTGCAATGATAAATGTAAAAAAACATTGGAAATACTCCCGAGGACTTCAACAATTACATAATGTTGCGATTGATTGCATGACTAGCGTATCAGCGTGAATCTTTCCCTCTAAGTTTCTCAATTTCGTATTCCTGTTGATCTGCAAAGCAAAAGAGACATAGTGTATTGGTGAAGAATGCAACATTTCCAACGTCGCAATATTCGGATCCACACTTGCACATTTCATCTTTATCTTTTCCAAAAAGGGATCGACACCCAGTAATGCCAACGCTTGTCTCTCTAAGGATTTTGGTGTCTGCGAGCAGATTTTAGATACCACCTTGGTTGACGCACCCCCCCCCCCCCCCCCCCCCCCATTGGACCCAGGAGTTGTCGCATAAGATACCTTAAAAGCTTGTAAAAACTTTCTTCTAAAAGCTTCCGTAAGAAATCAATCTTATTTATTGATCAGAGAAATATACTTATAGGTGATTTTTCGTGCGACGAAACATTGGATAAAGTATAATTTATAAAGTTCTGAATCGCATCAAAACACCATTTTGAGACAACCAACGATATTTTTTGGACTTCCGGCGATTTGTGATGTCACACTATAACACTCGCAATTTCCGTCTTGAATTCGAATAAAAATAACGCTAGCATTTTCCATAGAGGTTATTCCGATCAAATGCGAGACAGTAAACTTCATGAATCTTCGGGAAGTGGGAGAATCTGCAAGGAAAGGTAATCCATGAAATAAATTAACTTTGGTGTGAGCGGTGAAGTATCGCGCGTAACTGAAGGCGTTTTTGACTGATGACAACAGTTTGACGTAAATAAGCGTGCCTCCTACAGTTCTAACCTACAAGGATCGTATGAACCTACACACTTCCCGTAATTTCTTTGTGGAAGTCCGTTGGTCAGGTAGATATGACTTCATATGGGCCTTGGTATCACAAGGTAAATGAAATCCAGTGGCGTGGCGTGAATTGCGATTTATCGATTGTTATGCCATTTAAACCTATGGAAAAGGATCGATAATCAGGGTGTTCCCAGCGAACACCTTAATAATCGATTCTTTACCATAGGTTTAAATGCCATAACAATCGATATATCGCAATTCACGGAAATCATGTGAAATGTGCCTTTAAGGTATACATTTAAAAATTTTAGACTCTGTAGTATGAAGTGAGAGAGAGTAACTACCTAAATTTGTGTCCTTAGGAACTTGTCTACAGATCATTGGCACGCTTGGGCATAAGCGCAAAGTTTCCTTGATAACACGCTCTAGGTACTTCATATTTTGCAAATCATCAGGCGTGGGCTTGCGAGCTGAGCCCCGGAACATCTCTTCCAGCTCCTCAAAACACTTTTCCTGTAGTTATTTGGAACATAAAATTTTACAAATAAATATATATTAAATACAAATACAGGGTCATTCAAAAGTCACGCACCACTGGCTATAACTTTAGTTCTAATTAAGATATCGACTTGCGGTTTTTTGACGTTTTTCCTCATATTGAGGGGATCACTTTTTAGGAACTTTCCAGTTTTTGACCCTTGGAGGGGGAGGGGGCAACTAAAAATTTCAAATGGCCACCCCCCCCCCCTCATGGCCAATGGTGCGTGACTTTTGAATAACCCTGTATAACCGTCCATGGAGTCAAAATTATCAGGGAGATAGTTTTTGTCGAATAAGATCGAAAAATGAGATTTCTACGGAACTTCTCTCTAGTGGCCCGAAGAGTGAGAGTTGGGTGCTTAAATGCATTTTTGCCTCAACGATGGGTAGGGAAAATAAAATTTGAATGGGATTTTGTCAAGACAACGTTTTTGATCCATGAACCCGAAACCAAAACTGCAAACTCCCATTTTGATATTTTTAGGCGTTTTAATCTTAAATGCTTGTAGAAAACACTTCTACATAATATGGTATAGATATAACTCTCTATGATCTGGTGTGATTTTATCGAAGTTGTAAAAAAAACTGGAATAATCTAATTTTATTCGTGCGTTGAATCCTAACCCATCGTTTGAATGAGATACATCTTGTATAGTCAGACTCGGAACCCTATTCTCCTCACACTTGATGTCAAAAAGTCTAGATCATTACATGTCTTCCGAAAGAAAAAAAAACTATGAAAAAGTGATGGCCAGAATCAAGAATCCAGCTGATAAGAAAATCATACCTGAATCTCAGGATGAAGACCCAACAAAAAAAGCGTGTAACTTAAAGCAACGGCGGTAGTATCGTGCCCCTGAAAACATATGAACGTAATCATGATTAATTTTTTGAGAGAGGATATGATTTGTGAAATTTCTATGTTGAAAATAAATTAATTTAAAGCCGGTAAACAGAGGAGATTTATAAAATAAGCATTTTATTCAATTAAAAAAGGTTTAGTGCTCACATAGAAACTAGAGTAGAATTGGACTAGGGGTGGAAACGGAATTTTAGTATAATCGCTGATTCGTAAGAAAAAGAAATCGCAGAATTTCAGCAGTATTGCAACAGGTTTCAGGAAATTTTGTCAACGATTTTATGTCCGCGCACCTTTTTTGTCCAGTAGTTTACGCCCACACCTAAAATAAGCAACAAAGACTTGGTCCAAGCGTTATATTTTAGTCGGCATGTAAAATTGTACTGACATTATGGAAATGAGAAATTGAGAGAGAAGGAGGTGTTGCTGTATGGTTGCTCATTTTCTAAATGAAATGTTATTACTTTCTCCTGTTGAATCATCTTTTTAAATTGTCATTGGTGAATATTTGGTTTTATTTCTATCCCTAAAATATTTGATGTATAATATGCCTTATATATGTATAGGTACTTTTTTTTATTTTTTTAATTTTTGCTTTACGAAATTATTACTTCATTTTGAAAACATTCATATTTTTAAAACGTGACAAATATTTGTAAAACCTTTTCCAAGCGACATGAATCTCAATGAGCCGCAGTTGTGCCGACAGAAACTGCAAAAAAGAATAAAAGAGGGAAAAAACCAAGAAGCACGCAATCTCTAGTTTTAAACCATTTGTGCAAGAGATCTTTTAGAGTCAAATACGTCAAATTTTGAGCGTTTGGTTGCGCGTACACCTCGCTACAGCACAATAAAAGCACAAAATGTAAAAGAAAAATTGAAGTGCTTCAAATCATTAAATTTGACATGGAACCACCAATATTTAAAAAACACACATTATAGTATTATTCTTCTTTGATAAATTGATTCATATTTTTTTCCCATCAATTTAAAGGAGAATAATCAATGCAGAGAAAGCTAACATCTCAAAATATCATGAGTTAAAAAACGCTGACAATGCGAGTATAAATATTAAAGCCTAACAGAGCGGAGCGGCGTGCTGCCAGCGCGAGAGGCTCACTGGCGCCTACAAACCTAAGTGGATACTTCACGCATTGCACGATGCTTGAAGTATCCACTTAGGTTTGTAGGCGCCAATGC